TTTTTTGCCCTTTGTTTCCTTTCTTGTCCTGTTCGAATCATGCTTGCAGTTGTAGTTCCTTGCATGTACCAGTCGGCTTTGTGTAAATGTTGACCTGTCAAAGGTAGGAGCATTTTCCTTGGCAGGCAAATGCTCCTTTCGAGTCCGTCCGCAACGTGCCCCGATCCCTGTGTTCTCTCGAATCGTGCTCGTTTGGTTAGCATTCCATCTTTTGTGGTACTTATGCCCTCTCCGATTCGCAGCGAGATGACTGCCACCAGCACCTTGCGTTGCATCCTCTTGTTTTTGTCGAATATCTCTATAGCCTGAAACGCCTCTTCAACTTCTTGAATTCACGCCCAACCGTCAACTCAGTCGCGGTCGCCGGTCGCCCCCAACAGCAGTCTTCATACACGATCGAGACCCTCCACAGCCACTCCAAACATTCGTGGTCTATGTAATCGCCTCCGTGTTCGATCCCAAGCCACCCCGAAAGGTGCAGAGCTCTGCCACCGTATGCACTCTCTGTAGGCGAAAAAGATCAAAAGAACCAAGCGTCGCCATTGCACCAACCACTGTAACAGCATATGTGTTCGATCCCAAGTCACCCCGAAAGGTGCAGAGCTCTGCCACCGTATGTACTCTCTGTAGGCGAAAAAGATCCAGAGAACCAAACATCGCTGTTACTCCTTTTTTTGCCACTTTCTTTTGCCCCATTCTCTGTTCGAATCATGCTCGCATATTTCTGTTTGGTACTTATCAACGCTCGGTATTGGCGAATTCGTTCGATGGTGAAAGCAAAACTTTTGTCGCGATACAGGCAGGGCCTTATAATATGGTCGAAGCTAACGGCAAACGCATTTTCTGTTCGGCGACAGCTTTTTGTGACCCCCGATTTTCTATGCCGCGAAGCAAACTCTCTACCATCGCTCATCCGTCTACAGCACTTGATGACTCACTACAGCGCGAAGCACGCTCCTTACGAGAAAGGTCATGAATCCAAGTCTGAATGCAGTCGTTGTACATTTCCGTAGCCTTGATCGCCTGTTTAGCCTCTTCGATACCTATCTGCGTACCATTATGAGCCCCTTACCGTCACGGCTTTGCACCTTCATTTCAAGTCTCAATCTCTGTGTTTGAACATTTCCGCAGCCAAGAGCGCCTCCTGAGCTTCTTCAATCTCGCAATCATCGATGACAAGTCTAGTCTCGGCCGTCCACTGGTTGCGCATCGGCACGCATTTCAGCCGTGCTACCAATTCCGAAGCGGTGACTGGAGTCTCGTGTTCCCCTTGAAATGGTGACAGAACATTCAATAATTCGTCCAATGTTTTACAGACCAATTCGCCATCTTGGTCTCGAGTAACAAAACAGTGACGTACTGTTGCCGACTGAACAGCGAAATCTTGACTTTTATCCCTGTGGGACTCCTGGCACACCAACATCGTCCACTTGCCCGGAACGATGGGTTTCAAGACTTCGTGTGCCCAGATGCTTCGATCCAAGCCCAAAAGCGTAGCCGGCGGTGGCCCAATCTGGCCGTCATCGTCGATTGACAGCGACATAGCAAGGTTGAGGCCAAGATAGGCGTGCCTGATGTCGTAGAGCGGGGAAGCCGGAAGCAGCTCAGCCGCGAACGTGGTATACAAGCGGGGAAGTAGCTTCTGTATCGACATCGCCACATCGTGCAACGGTATGTAGACATTACTGTGGGAAGACGCGAGTTTCAGCTTGCCAGCAGGGCTGGCGCCGCTCGTGGGCGATGTCTGAGCGAAGTGCTTCGACCATGCCACGCCACCCGAAGCAGTGCGGGAGCGCTGATCTATGGCATAAGTCTCGTCCCCCGTAGCAATGAAGATGGCCTGACAAAGAGAAGCGCCGCGAAGAGCTTCTCGGATCGAATTAATTGCCGGGACAAGTGGGATCTCAGGGAATTGGAAACCCGCTATCAAAGCTGCCTGGTATATGGCGGGGTGTGAAATCGAATCCAGTTGAGCACCTGACAGTGCTTCGGTCAAGGTATGCAAGTCAAGCCCTTCAGTGGCTGCGAATCGAAGCTCGACGATGTTGCCAGCATGAGCTAGTTGATGAACTTGCTCCGCTGTCAACTTGATATGCGGCAGTGTGAGCTTGATCTGACGAGATGAGCTCTGCAAATCCGAAACAAGCTGAAAAACTTGGTCTGCCTTCAGCTGATCAAACATGGAAAGATCAATGTTCTGGCGTCCGCGCAAGGCTCGGCACAACAAATTATGACCACCAGTTGTGCTCAGAGCATTCGGTGCGGCTCTCAAGTGATCTAGCACCATGTCTGCGAAGTCCCGGAGTTGCTCAGCGTCGGCGAGCCACGAGAGTTCATCGTTTCCGTCCGTCAGGGCACGCGAGATGACACTTGACATGGCATTATCCCGCAGTGAATGCTGAACGCCCGGAGCATCCCCTTTAGAACCTTCGCTCGCTTGTGCATGGGGTAAGGCTTCAGGGGTGCGAAACTTTTCGTTCGGCCAGGTTCCTGCCAGAGCGTCGACGTCGATAAGAGCATACTGTTCGAGTTCACGGGCAGTCGGGTCCGTCTCTTTGCACATGGATGTTTTATAAGCGGCGAGGTAGCCGTTATAATCCATTGGAGTCATGTTGGGAATGTTGTAACGTTTGGGGTAACCGCGCACCACGAAGCAATAGCGAGGACGGCCGGGATCCGTGATGTCGAAGATGCTGAAGCCGTCATCATTGTCGCACTGTTGAAGACTCGTTGTGACAGAGAGGAGGTGCTCGCGGTTCTGTTCGCCCGGTCTCTTCGCGGCGCCAACCATAAGGCATGTGGTAATCATGGGACATAGGGTCTCCTGTGGCTGCTTGTCAACTCGCAATGCTGGGACTGAACGCTCAACTGGGATGGGGACGCCGCAGTGTCGGGGTTGTACTTCAGATGAAAGCCAAACAATCCGACCAACCATTTCGAGCGAGCGACTTACGAGTGCCACTTCAGATCTCCATCTCGCATCCCGCTCCTTGGAGGTCATTGCCTCCCATTCGTCGCTGGTAGGAATTTCGAACGACTGCCAGTCGACCTTTTGCGCATGCTGCAAGTCCTGTCGTAGTATGGGCGCGTTTGCTTGGAAGAACTTCAAGGTCTGCAGGCACTGGCGGACTGCAGATTTGTCGGAGAGCCACTGGCTGTGGACACCAGCTACGACGCGGTAGCGTGAGCCGACCTTGGCCACTGCAAACGACTGATGTCGAGCGCCCATGATGGCTGTGCAGCCTTCGAGATCCGTTGCGAGTGGTGGTTCGAGGGAGGGATTGCTATGGATGTCGGTGTCAGTGTCAGTGTCGCGGGTGGTGCCTCGCGGAACTTCCGAGCTGTTCGATGCCTTCTGCCGCTGCTGCCTGACAACGGGTGACACAGCGAGGCAACAGCGTCCACCGCGCGGGTAGGCGCGTGAGTGAGTCAACATTGTGTGCACCACCGAAAGGCATAATCTGAACAATGCAACTTGTGCCATGCTGACTTCATCTAATGCATGGCCAGATCTCTCCTCGTCTCCCATGCATGGAGTATTCTCGCGCACACAGACATATCGTGGCTCGTCGGCATCATCTGGCACAACATCGATGCTACCAGATCAGCTGAGGACGATTGAGATGCGCATGGTGCAGTAGGAGGAGTTGTGATGAAGAACGAAGGACGTGAGCTGCAGTGAACGCGTCCAATCCTCCGGAGCCCTTTCCGCCTGACGCGCCGAGTAGCCGAGCACTGCCCATCCTCCCGACACAGCACGCCGACTTTACACTCCCGAGCGGTATGGCGCAGTCAAGCTGTTCCTATCCAAGAGCTGAACCTGTAGATCGCCTGCTAGTCCAGCGGCGACGCTATTGCAGTGCACGATGATGCGGTAAGATTTGATCGTGCCCGAGTGGCATAAAAGCAACAAGACCGCGTCCACGACGCACCCATTGACCATACAAGAACAACATGACAGACTCAGCAGAACGTTCGAATCTTGCTCCTCTCTCACGTCCACCTTCATACAGCGCGATAGACACATCACCGCACATCGTCAACGACTCCCCTCCCTTCTTCGAACTCCACCACCCCACAGCAACAGCCAGCATCCAAGTCCTCCAAAACGACACCGTACTCTTCTACGCCGCCTCCTACAACCTCAAAGACGTCTCCGACATCATACTGTACGCAGGCTACGACTCAAAAGGCCCCCAACTCGCCCTCTTACAGCTCATACCCTTCACCAAAGACCTGAAAATCTACGTCGGCGGGCTCAAACATCCCGTAGGCGACGACTGGGATCTTGTTCGCTGTGCCGAAAGTGGCAACAAGATCTTCCACCGCAGTCCCATTCACCGCTTCGAAAGCTACAGCCTGGGTCCCGACGGCCAACGCGTGAAAGAGAAGCTCCATTGGCAAAAGACGCATGATCGCAAACTCGGGGCATCGAAGCTATCGCGCTCAGATTACAAACTCGTGGATGAGATCACGGAAGAGGTCGTAGCGGTATATGTCGATTGTTCGATGCGGTTGGGAACACAGAAAGGGACGATTAGATATGTCAAGAAGCTGGGCGAAATGGCCGAGATGGCGGCGTTGATGGCTTTGTTGGGTTTGCTGGAGCGGTCTCGAAGGCACTCTCAAGCTATCGCTCCATCTTTTGTGCGGTGATGGTGCTGTGCTGCTGCGACGCCACAGAGTTGCTTCCGTGCCGAACCCGCAACCGTTGTCACTTCTGAACACACCTGCTTCTGAGTGCAAGCGCCTAATCGAAATGGCTCTCGATCCATGAAAAGCTTTGCCGGTTGGCTTAGCGACCTGCGTTTGCACTCAGAGGTGGTTGCATCAAGAGGTAGCCATGGTCATTTGACGCGCTGAAAACAAGATTTCCAAGGCTGCCCAGCGCAGTGGACGCGACACTACTCGAAGTCAAAATGTTCAGAACTCAGGAGCTCGATATCATTCTCTGTTCCCATACAGTGGAGTACTTGACGAGATGCACAGCACCATGCGGAAACTCACAAAGGCATGTCGACGACCGCTCCGGCCCAGCTTGGGACGCGCACGATCACCAGGACCGCGGGGGATCGTGTCTCCGCGCACAGCAACTTACTACTTGAGCACCTCGAAACTCCAATTCCAATCCAAGGACCCGCGACAACGCTACACTGCCGGATTGCGTCCTGTGATAGACTCTACATCATACGGCTGTGGATTGCTTCCGGACCTCGCCAACGGACTTACCTATATGCACAAGTGGGGTTTTGTAATCTATCGAGGGACATATGGTGACGAGGAGCAGTGGGAAACAGCGATACGCTGGCTGTACAAGCGCACGCTCAATACACTTCAATCAATTTCGAGATCTCAGGATGAACTCGACCAAGTTTGGAAGCAGCTCGATCTCACTGTGATAGAAGACCGTAATCTCCTGGAAAGCGCCCCACTACATACTGTCAGGGAACTTCATCGCAAATGGGTGCTGGAATCCCCCGAGCCAGTGCGCGGCGGTCCTCTGCCAGAACACTGGATGCAGAAAGTCGAGGCCGGAGGTGGCGATTCTCTGACACGTTCCGATCGATATACAAGTGGTCCACCCGGCTTTCCAAGGTATGGGTACTTCGTATACATTGACGATGATGCACTTGAGTCGATCATCGCATTTCGAGGCCAGAAAAATGCCGAAAAGGAAGCCTACGTTCGAGTGGTCCAGACGTACTATCTGGATGAGCCACGCCCACTCCACTACGAAGGGCCTGACGCGGAAGAGGAGATGGCTGTTCTTGAGAGTGCTGAGGAGCCCGTAGAGGGGATCAGGCGATATGAAGTTGGTTGGATGAAGTATCGCGCCCTGTACCTAATGGATCTCTACACAAGGTTGCACGACACGTGCAGCTGGGACATTGAGTACAAGCGACCACCAGAGTTGGCCCCGTACAATTGCTAGTGAAATCTCACGTCTAAGCTGAACAGCTCATCATTACAAGAGCAAAAGCTTGGCTGTATTCATACTAGCGCATCGCTTGACATCCACTGTTCGAGTAGAAGACTTTGAAAGGTGGCAAATTTCCGTTATAATTAAATCGTACGAGGTCCGAATATCACGTCGCTTGCCGAGCGATGTTCTTTGCACTACCTACTGGTCGAGCGTCAGGTACACAGGCCTTTGACGAATTATGTCTGCATCGAAGAAGTTTCCACAGAAGAGACAGTAGCAGATCGTGACGCTGGTGCAGTCGGCTCGAGAAAGTAGTTACTTCCACGATAAGAACACCTCTGAACACGGCAGTTACGTCTCTGAACACGGCAGCTACGTTGGTCTGACTTGGAAGGTAGTGTTAGACTAAGGGAACATGAATGGTTGGAGCACAGCATGCGTCACCTTTTCCTGCATGAAAGAGTATACGTGTATAGGAAACGATCGACGTCGAATGTAGCTGGTTCCCAGCGTCAGCCCATTGTTGTTCAACGAACTCTTCATTGCTGGTGACCATACCAGGGTATACCACACCCTCAAATTCCGTACGTTCAGTGAACGCAGTACAATTCTGCTGGATGGCAGTACGTGTATCCAGCAGAGATTGACGACATGTCTCGGTACAGAGCTCTTTCAGCTCATGGGGGAACAATCGGGAGTTACTGGCACATGTCAACTGCCGACTGGCTGCGCAGTGGCTGCCACATTAGGTGTTGGTGACCATGGCACTTGATACCGTTCACTCACACGAGACCGTATTAACCAGTCTGCTATCACATGCGCGACCGACTGACCAATTGGATACCAAGAATACCGGACCAACAATTTGCTAACCCCTGTGGTAGTACTAGTCTCGTCTCGCGATCAGATGCTTATGCATGCACCGAGGTCAAATTAGAGGCCCAATTTCCGGTAACAAGTGGCTTGCTAGCTTGTCGTACAGTACTAAGCCCTAAGTTTGAATCCGTGAGACTTAGGGCAGGTTGCTGTATAATGACCGCTAAACTTCGAATCCTTGAGACTTAGGGCAGACTGCTATAAAACGACTGCTGAACTCTTCTATTCTAGGCTCGGACGAGGCCTGGCTCTTGCCTAAGATGTACTAGCAGCATACTTGCTATGTCTATCCGTCCTCTCCGGGCTAATAGTACCAATTCACGTAGTAGAACTCCATTATAAAAATCAAGCTAGTCTCTACTTCACCCGATCCTCTATCTTCCAAACCACTTCACTACGATTAATAACACCCTGCATTGCGATGAAGACTACAATCTTCTCTACGCTGATATGCCTTTTGCTAGCGAACACCGAGTTCGTCAGCGCCACATGCGACAATGTATGCGGATGTTGCAGTGCCTTTATTGCGGTAGGTTGCTTATAAATTTCTTCAGGAGTGAGAGCTAAGCTGCTATTAGCAAAAAAATGGTCCCGGATGGTATGTCGATGGATGGCTACATACAAACGCGGACGGGTCCTGTTATTGTGACACGTTCTCACGAGGTTGTGGCGCTTGTAAAAAATGAGGACCTACTGCTCGGTTGAAGGTACAGAGCTGTCCTTTTCGCGGTCTTATGGGATACTAATTAGGAGTTGTCAAGACCTGTTAGAATCCTCGAGCCAAACACGAAAGCTACGACGACTTTCTGAAAGGGGGCATTGTCGAGCAATCTACTGTAGTAGTCAGCCTTGAAATCAGGAATATACCTTTTGCCATCTCAAGGCCGTCTGAAAATGCTCTCTTGACAACATTACTTCCTACCCTTTCACCTACTCGATACAAACCCGCGTAGATATTTGTCTTCGTTTCGGCAGACTGAGTCCATGTATATGGCCAACGGGCGTGGTCTATTATGCGATGGATACAACCAGCATAATTACTGTTGTGAATCTTCGACACTGGTAGTGCCTACCAAAGGGAATTAGCCCACGCGTGAGTACCATGAAAAGGCCACATCCCCGGCGTGAAAATAGCTGTCCATACTGATGTCAATCTGCCCGTTCGAGGGCTTATCACAGTCTATAAAATATTCTGCCTAGCGCTCAGAGGGTATACCTAAACTTCGGATCTCCCTCGAGTACCATCTCCCCACGATCAGCCTTTTCATTCTGTCGAGCGAACACAACCGTGTTGAAAGCAACGATGACAATGATCATCACGTTGACAGCGATACAAGCGATGATGCCGGGAATATAAGTTGGAGCATCCTGGGACCGGAAGACAGTGCTGCCTGCAATGCCACCGATACCACCAAATCCAACGAGCGTGGCGGAGGCAAAAGCCCGCTTCCATTGGCCTCGTACATTGTTTGCTCTACGGGAATATGTCAGCTCTGAGTGGCGAGAATTGTGAGGGGGCACGCTTACTGATATGCCATGACTGTTGGGATGCCGCCGTTTGATGCCATGCAAATGAGGAAGGTTCCAAAGTAGCGTGCGCCAGCAGAATCAGCCCAGCCCTGAGGTGCTATGTTAGTCTGAAATGCTGAGAACCACCAGATAGAAGACCCACCAATACTGCAGCTCCAATAATTCCCAGTGTTGCAGTGAAAAAGAGCAGCGGTCCTCGCACTCGGTACTTGTCACCAATCCAAGCACACGAGAACATGACAAGTGCTGAGGCAGCATATGGAGGTGCCGTCAATAATTGCGATTCGCCGACATCGAAGCCCATGTTCGAATTGAGAATAATAGGCAGAAAGAATGCCAGAGCGTAAGCCTGCGTTGTGAGACCACTAGGCCAGTTAGTACAAAAGATAGGTCAGGCGAGGCTCAGATTACTCACAAGAAGCACAACGCAAACGTCCAAATCTTCCAATCTGCACCTGCAGCCAACCACTTGCGGAAATTCCATGGCTCTTGCGCAGAGTCACCTCGATCTTTGTCGATCCGGCGAAGGATGAATTCAATTTCTTCGCGGTTCAAGAACTTCCAGTGTTTCTTGTTCACCGCTACGTCTGGGAAGTCGACGAGGAATGCGAACCCGAGGAAAGCCTTTCAGCAATTATCGTGATCAGTTTCGCACTCCTATGCCAACATGAAGAAATGTCAATACTCACAGCGGCGACTGTCAACAGTCCAAAGACGAGGAAAATCCAGCGCCATCCTTCGAGACCGGCCCTTCCGTCCTAGATTATCAAGTCAGCGGAGATGGGTATCGATTATGAGGTGAGAATACCAATTGCATGAGGCCATATGCGAGGATACCAGAGCACCCAGATGCGACCAGACCAAGCGCGTAGAATCCGGCATAGCGCTTCTGCATATCATATCTTGCATACCACGTCGAAATCAGATATACCACACCGGCTACTCAAAGTCAGCACGCCTGGCTGAAACATAAAATGGTTCCACTCACGGAAGTATCCAGCTTCGAATAGACCTAAGAGCAGACGCAAAGGCACCAGAACGACCCAATCCTGAACGAAGCTGAAGCCAATCTGCCATAGTCAGTACGATGACTGCAGTCGCGAAGGTTATCCAGCATACCATAACAGCGCCCCATGCCAGGCAAATTCCCGACAGAAATATTCTCGGGCCAATCTTTCTCGTCAAGAGCGTGGCAGGCGGTTGGAAAATCGTATAGGTGATGAAGAAGACCAGGGAGATCAGACTCTACACATCAGAGGTCAGCAAATGCTGCGATACCCTTGCCATCTACTTCGCAACTCACGTAGCGGAATCCAGTCAATTGCAGGTCTTCCGACATTCCCGCGATGTTCGCATTCGGCAAATTAGACCGATCCATCAGACTGTTCATGTAGATGATGCCAGCCACAGTGATCAGTCTCGCATCCAGTCGATGAATGATCTTGCGCTGTTCCGCGTACGAGTAGACCGGGTCATCGTCGAGCGCCTCTGGAGTAAGCGTCTTCTCCTGATCAGAGTCATCGCTTCGGTGCTCATTGTAAACCGGCGAATCCGAGATCTTCTCAACATCGAGAGTATCAGTCTTGAGAGCCGCCATTTTCGCAAATATCGATGATGGAAGAGACAAAACCACTCGACCGCGGGCGACCAGGCAGACGAGCCCCCATCATAAAGAAACCATTCCTTTCTTTCTCGGGTGTGACCCCAGACACGGCGCCGCGTCCTCAGATCAAGAACGCCGAGACCTTGGGGTCTCCATGATTGTGGAGTCCGTCATCCTGGTCTTGCGTACAGAAACACGATTTTCTCCCAGATCTCTTTCGGACATGACATCGCTTCTGGTAAAGACCGGTCCACTCATGCAGCGGGGAAAATTCTTGGGGAGTGTTGGCGAATGGAGTGGCAGTGCGGAGCGGGTTGAGAAGTGTCGTACTTCGCCTACGAATAGAATAGCTCACGTGGCTCTCGCGTGTCGGGGCGGAAGTCACGGTCTTGGCCTACGTGAGCATTGGCGTTTCTCGCTTTTGGGGGATAATGATTTGTGGTTTGGGGGCATGACTCCGCGGTACAAGACTTATGCAAAGAGAGATCTTCGTCGGGGGCTGTGTTGGTTGCTTGTGTACAGTCTGCAGAAACGTGCAGGCTTCGGACGACATACACTTTTGGATCGTTCGAGTTTCTCAAAATCTTGGCACCGACGCGGCATCGACATTCCTTGTCTGGGGTCTGGGGAAGGCATGTGGTCCTCTGGTCAAGATTGACCCGAGATATTGCCTGCTCAGAGGGTCGAGAACATACCGATTGCAAGTCCCCCGAAGCTGAAGGGTGTCACAGACTCACTTTTCCAGAAGATAACCTCACCGCATATGCCTTATCTGCATTCGGGCCCGAAGCTGAGGACGCACAAAGACCCTCTTCTCAGAAGAGGATTCAGCGTGCTGACGAGGGTGTGAAGCTAGAACGAACCTCTCGTCGTCGTTGCAGTACCATCGTACTCTGGTCTCGGTCGATGGCCTGTTCCAGCGGTCACCGACAATGAACGAGAGGCTTGCGCGGATCCCTCGGAACTGCTGCAACCTGAGGCACTTCAGCTGATCCGGGCCGAGCTAAAAGGCTTGCAATGCCCCGGCAGCCGAAGTTGAAGAGGCCTGAGAAGGCGAACAATGAGTTCGACTCTCAAACAGATGCGTAAAACATTCTTGGAATATGCTAGGATCGTGTGCACGAAAACGCTACCGTGAAGGAAGGAGCTGGGTCCGCGCCAAGAATCTCCAGCCTCTTACTCGACTCGACCACAACGTGACTTGCTCACGGAATGTTGATAGCCTGAGACGAACAAGACATGATCAGAGACCTCTGGGGAGCCAGCGGCCAGTATTCTAGAACTGCCTGCCTGCGGTGAAACATCGGGTGTACGTTCGCCCGCAATCGAGACCGATTTCCCCTCAGCGGCTTTGGATGCCGAGTATATCGCGATGGTGGCCCGTAGGTACGCATAGCTATCCGCCACCCCTCACTATTCTGCGTGTCATAGAGGAGATGGCGCTTGTGCTCATCATCATCATAATTGGATATCATTAAACGCTGTCGTCAAGTTCATCATCAATGTCGTACTAATTCGCACGCAGCCGTGCCCAGAGCTCTCGTCTGGCTTCCAGCAGACCATCCCGCAGCCTGTCCGACGAACCCTGATTCTCCGCGGCCCTTCGTGTCAAGAAGTGTAGACATTCTCGCACGGATCCCCAGTGCACACACTTGAAGACTCGCGGTGCGACTTGCTTCTGCGTTTCCGCCTCCTCACCGGTCAAATGTTTCGCGGCCTCCCTCGCGACTTCGACGCGCAATAGTAGTTCTCCACTGACGTGATCTGCCATTCCATATAGTTGGCCGAATTCCAGGGTGTCCGGCTTGTGTCCTTGCAGAACGAGACTTTTGTGGAGTTTCGCGGCTCTTTGAATTGATTCTGCGTTGTGCCCAGCCAGAAATGTGCGGACTTTAGGGAAGTTCCCAGGTCCGATATCGTCGTAAGATCGGGTGAGTAGTGACTGCGCAATTCCATTGTACGAGGCATCTGTATCGGCTTTCGTATTGTGAATACGTGACCGAATGTCGTGCAGAATGTAAGCCCCTCGTACGAGCTTCACTCCCAATGCCCAACCCTCCTGTTGTGCGAGCTTCAAATGATCACGAATAATGCCTCGAGTTGCTTTTAGGTATGCTTGGTACGTGTTGAGCACGAGCACTTCGCCATTGACATTGTATTGTCGCATCAGGTCGACCGTCCAGCGATCGATCGTGGTCTGGAACACTTGCTGCTCTGCATCGAGGAAGATCCGTGTGCCTTGTTCCTGGGCTGTTCTCATTATCTTGTGCAGAGCAGCACTGAATTCCGCTGGAGGTTCGTCGCCCGCTTTCAAGGCTTCGGCTATGCTTTGGCCAGCCCCGGTATATCTGAAAATGCATCAGCAGAGAAGCAGAGATTGAGCAACCGTTATACTGACTTCATGCCCATGTAGTCACCTTTGCTGAGGCACGACAGAGTCTTGAGGTTGCCTTCCAGCCACATTTGAATATGTTTGGAAGACAGATCGACCTTCGAGCTTTCGGCAGCACCATGAGCAACAATCTCGCGAGCATATTGGAGGATCACTCCAGCATATCCGGACGCCTTGAGACGATTCAAGACCGGCACGATTTCCCGCTGTTCATTGCCTGCACAGAAGTGGTTGTACACCAATGCTCGTAGCACTTTATTGAGAATAACGTTCCTGTCGGGATCGAGCAAAGCGCTGCGTGTACTTGCGAGGCGGCTTAGCATGCCCATTCCCAGATTTGAGAGGGCCGGACTGGCAAATAATTGACCCAGAAAGATCGTCCTCAGCAAGGCAGGTAGCGGAAGACTCTTCAATGGCCGGTGTGATGGTCTTGCTGACGGCAGTCCCGCTCCAGTCATCGGATCCTGGACTGTAAATTGCGTGTCATGACTGGCGGTGGTACTATGTCTGTTGCGGCCTTGTGTCGAGATACTGCGAGTCAATGGGAGTTGCAAACATTGGAATGCGCTGATTCGGACACGCTGTCCAAGATACATTGCCAGCTTAGGTGTCATTTTCGAGCGTGAGACGACCTGTTGAAGAAGATCTCAATGCCTGAGAGTTGATTGTAATGTCAAGTCATAGCATCTGATCATGTGCAACATGGGTCCGCGCGGCAAGCGGCGGCCCAGGTCCTACTTGCCTGTTTGGGAGCTCTAGTTGGACGGAACTGAAGTGCGACGATAGCTCTCGCACTGCGTTCCCAGCTCGTATCATGTTGCCTCGCAGTATGATAAGCTATCAGCGCCCAACTCCTCATCACTGGTGGCTCTGATACTCGGGCCCGCAAAGTGCCCGGCGTCCACGCCCGCGTTGGTCTGGTACTGCTGTCCAATTATTCATATTTGTACTCGCGTCAGGGAAGGATGACTGTATTCAAGGGCATAAATGCATCTTCGGGTCTCATTGAGATATCAAGAAATGATGGGCGTCGTCTTTGTTGATGTAACGCCAATGGCAAAGACGAGGTACAGAAGTAAAGTTGAAGGTGAAGTCGACGTCTCACCTCTTGGCATAGCAACCGTGCGCCGCGTTGGCAGTGGGCAATCACTCTTCAACACGTGACAACCTTCACGCACACCAATCACCCAATGGTTCGCGATCGGCCTGATTAAAACAATGCCAATTCTTCTCCGTGAAATCGGATCACGGCAGCACCTATGGTCCACGATGGAGGGACGCACAAGAAGAGTTCCAGAATGCAAAAGTTTGCACGAAGCTCTCATCAGCAAGCTTAATAAACACGAATGGCCTCTGCATTGTGTGCTGACCGGCAACAGTTTATGCGCTTTGTGATTACAGTTTTCTCAGCACAGCGTAGGGTTTCACTCTGACTGGAATCTCTTGACGCAACTGATCAGACTGCAACGATCTGAATTGACAAACCTCAAGGCAGCAGCATCATCATCGAGCTCTACTCATCGTATGTCTCAAGACGTCTGGCCCTGCAGTGATCTGGATCTGTTCACGCATGAATGATAGAAACTGTGCCTGCTTCGGCAGCATTTACAAAGCGAATGCGCCTCGAAATTCGCCAAGTCTTCGTCTGGCATACAGAACGGAGCACCTTGTTCCGCGACTCGAATGAACCACTTTGCGGAAGCTGACAGGGTAGTAAGCCGGCACGAGCTCTCACTCTTTGCATAGAAATGGCAGCCCTGGCTATGGACCAGGCTACGGACTGCTCAATGCAGGTATGCCATCAAGGAATTTCCAACAACGCCGATATATCCTCACAAACTCGAACTTAAGATCTCGCTGTAGGAAGAAGCCCGTTCCGCAGTTGGTCGAAAACTCGCCGAATCTTACATCAGCCCCCATTGCTGCTCTATTAATACACCCTGGAACGACATTGACCTTCGCCAAGCTTGAAGCGGAGGCTTAATCCAGATACGCACTGCACTCTACAGCAACGTTTACTTCTCACTGAAAGGAAGCCCTAACAAATCACGGACAAAGTGGCCGCATGAAGGTGCTGCTGATTCGGTGCGATGTCCACTTCCAGGGTTCCCACAAACATCAATGCTTGCTGAACTGGACGGCGTCCACACTACGGCCGGTAAAATCGTGCAAGAGCGCAGTGTAGCAGGCTTGAGGCTGTCACTAGGCCGCTATTTGTGGACCTCATGAAATACTCCGATAGCGTGCGCCAGAACGAACCCAACTCATACGAGGCATACGAAGATGCAAGACCAGAAACCATAATCTGGTTTCGCGAGGTCATCCGGTGCCAATGAAGATAAGGCATCTTAGGGATGAAACAGGTATATAAAGACTCACCGCGTTTGGTATGTGATCAGTAGCAAGTTCACTCATCAGCTTCTACAGTTGCAGTATCTAGGATCTACGAACTCGAACCCGGCCATCATGAAGTTCATCATTGCAACACTCCTCGCCTATACGAGCGGAGCTTTCACCGCTGCCGTGCCACTGGAGCAGAGCGCCGACATCGCGCAGAGCGCCAACTTCGATTATGTGCAGAACTACAATGGCAATGCCGCACAATTCAAGTACAACCAGGCCCAAGGTAAGAAGTCTGAAGCTTAATGTAACGAACGAATGCTGACACCTCTCCAGGAACATACAGTGTGAAATGGGCAGGAGGAACCAATTTTGTCACCGGGCTTGGTTGGTCACGGGGCGGTCCTCGGTACACTCATCTGCTCTCAAGTGTTCCGGTGCTACCGATACTAATATCTCAACTAGAACTATTAAATACTCTGGTACTTACAGTCCTGTTAACAGCGGCTCTTTCTTCGGCGCGTACGGTTGGCTTGAGAATCCCCTAACGGAGTACTATGTTGTCGAGAGCTTCGGCACCTACGACCCTTGCGCAGATAAAACCGCGAAGCAGCACGTCACTTTCAAGTCCGCTGACGGCCTTTCGAGTTACAAGGTTTGCAGCAACATCCGCACGAATCAGCCCTCCATTCATGGTACAGCAACGTTCAAACAGTTCTTCTCTGTCAGGCAGGGCATGCGTACATCTGGTACTATCAATACTGGAGAACACTTCAGCCACTGGGCCAAACATGGTTTTGCCAACAAGAACTTCGGGACCATGAGCTTCATTACTGAGGCTTGGAGCGGTTCGGGTAGCGCTTCGGTTACTTTGTCTTAGGTTACGCTCAAGCTTATCGGGCAGGTGTAAGGGTTGCTGCTTGCTGAGTTGATATACTGGCATGGGAAAACTACTCGATGCTACGCTATCAGAGCCAGTCGATCGCATGCTTGAAACGATTGAACGATTTCCTCAATGTTCTTGGCTCGGGCCGGAGGTTAATTTCAAAACCGATAGAATAGAGATACATTTAAACATGGCGATCTATGTGTCTCACATGCGAAGGCCCGGTTCTTACGCTACTCGTTGCGACAGGTACTTGTGTCGCTGGCTACAATTACCTTAGGCGAAAGGTAAGGATGGGAGAGATTCTGAGCATCTTCTGCAGAATTTCTGACTAAAAGCTTCTCGCCTGCACCAGATTTCCAAAACGCGGCATCCAATCCATTGAATCGTTCTTACCAGATACAATCGATACAGAAGTAAATGGAATTGTCAGCATCGTGCCTACGTCGATAGTACTTCGGCTATCGAGGCCGACGAGACGGGAGCCCCGCACTAGAGAGCGCTAGCCTCACCTCACCTCACCTGAGAACCGCCACGACGACCATGCCGCCAACCAAAATATCAGCAAGATGGAAGACGAAAGCGCAATCGACGACGAGATCATCGAGCCTCCGGAGAAAAGATTGAGGGTCCCACGAAGGACCCCGCGAGCGTAAGTCAGATCATCCCCGCTGAAGCCGACTTCGCACACACAGACCGGTATCGTCTCGGACTCTTACACCGAAATCCGATTCGCAGATGCAAACAATGCCGACAAGCAAAGATCAAGTGTTCGGGCTCGATGCCCTGTGCGCGGTGCGCGCGGCGAAGAGACACGTGCGTTTTCCCGTCCGATGAGCCGCACGTCTCGGTTCCAGAACGATACCTCAAGGATCTCGAACGGAGGGTGGCCCGGGCGAGACTTTCGCAGTCGTCAGCGAGGAATGTCGGTGGATTCACTGGGCCATCAGCGAGCTCGCCGCCGAATGTACCAAATGCTACACAGCAGGAGCAAGAGCACAATGATGGCCACGGCGTCATTGAAGCGCCAAATGCGCAACCAGAAAATTCGCGGCACGGTTCGCGAAGCCTAGATGCGCTTGGTAAATGTGGCTGACCCAACAACGCAAGAATACAAGCTAACACATGCTACAGCAGAAGCATCATCAGCTGCAGCGGCGGCAGTGCAGATTCCTGTCAATTCTACAGACAGGTCAAGCTCGGCCACTGTGAACGAGAACGCCTCTGGTCTACTTGCAATACACAACCCGCTGGTTAGCAGAACTCTCCCATATGTACGCGATACCTGTGGCCGACCTCGTGAGTGTCTTCCAGTCAATATAACGTCTCTTCTCTAACATGAAGAGAAAAGGGTATCTCGGGCCAAGTTCGACTTGGGCCTTCTGTCGACGAGCATTGTTCCTTCTCGGACCCCATTCTCCAGGTACTCATGATGACTCCGCGCTACTCAACAACGACGGCACAGCCTTTCGACTCCGATGGGAGACGAAGACTGCTGTTGAGCCTGGCGACCTGAACGATCTTCCCGCAGCCGACTATGCCTTGTATCTGTACAATTCCGTGAAGTTCCGGCTCGGAGAACTCTTCGGAATCATGGATGAGGCGAGCTTCATGAGTCACTTCGAAAGATTCCATCGTGAGCCCTGGCAGGTCGCGACTGAACAGCGATTATGGTTCGTGGAATACCTACTCATTCTGGCTTACGGGAAAGCACTATTGAGCCATCCCGGCCGATCACCCGTACCGGGCAGTGACTTCGCAGCTCGCGCCATGGCCTTACTACCTGATGCTGCGACGCTGCATGAAGAAGGCATGCATTCGATTGAGGTTCTGGCACTGGTTGCATTATACTTCCAATCGATTGACATGCGGGTCACTGCTTACCAATATGTAAGTCATTTTGACGAAACATCATGGCTCGAATTAACAAGTCCAGATTGGCCAAGCTCTGAGATTATGCTATGTGGAAGGGATCCACCTACATATTCCTGACGATGTCATCAGTCCAGAATTCTCGTTACGATGTCACAAAGTCTTTTGGGTGATTTACGTGCTCGACCGAGAGCTGTCGTCCCTAATGGGCGCCATCACACCTGGCTCCGAAGATGATGTCGCTGCATTCATGGCGCCCGAGAGACAAAATTCAATTCTGGATAAGGCTCTCATGCTTCGGGTGCGGTTATCACGTCTCATTGCGACGACATGCACTAGTAAGTCGATTCTTCTGCGCACAACGCCAGCCACTGACCAGGATAACAGCACTATACAGCGTAGATGAAAGCTTCGGCGCCTCATTCGTCAAGAATACAACCTGGATCCTCCACCGACTGGCCGAAGTATCTCATGAAATCGAAAGTGTAGTCAACGCACTGAACCAGCCTTCGAAGACGGAGATGCCTCACATGCTGAGACGCGTGATGCTCTCGTACCACCACGTAAGTCTTCCAGCAAGTCCAGGTCCACAGGGGCTCCACTAACACCGATCCAAGTGCATTGTCCTTGCCACCCGCCCCCTAATCATGTGGCTGTTGGTGCTCAGTCTTCCACCCGCGACGTCGGAGCCGCAACAGCTCGCCACTCCCATATCTGCCCTCCTCCACGCCTCAGCCGAGTCCGCCACAACCATCATCCTCATGCTCAAATCCCTCACAGAACGTGGCCTGCTCGAGACCTTCCTCCCCTTCCAACTCGAATACGCCTTCGCATCTGGCATGCTTCTCTCTATCCTGGGTTCCCTCCTACCATCCTACATTCCCGACCCCAGCTGGAGCACAACATTGAATTTCATCTTGGATGAAATGACATCCAAGTCCAATGTCGTGGCTCCATTGAGGAAAGCAGAATTAGAGGCTTTGCATCGTTTGCTTGATCCTGTGAGGACGCAGGAGCCACTAATCGTGCCGGGACCAAATGACTCCAACATGACGATGTCGTGGCATACAGAAGAGCAACAAGATGGAGCTACCACGACACAAGCAGCAGGCTCTGATAACATGACATCGCTGCATGAAGGAGAGACAAGTACTGCAGCAGACTCGAATGCGTTCTATATGCCATGGGATCCGCTTTATGATATGGGACAATCTGGACAGCCGGAATTGATGTTGGAGCTGGCAGCACAATTGGAGACCAATGATTTCGATCCTTCGTTCTTGCTAGGTCCGATCGAAGGGAACGGATTGTAAGAACATACAGAATCGGCTTATCGAATTTCGCTGCTTCTGCCTACCACAACATCTTCCGCCATTGACTTTCTCAGCTCAAGCGCCAACACAAGCCGCCGAACTTTGGAGTAGTGGTATGTTCGACAGGCCTTCCGATGCTATCTTTCTGCCTTTTCGCCTGGCATGCCTACCTCTGATGCCAGAGTAGGATCTCGAAGCTTAGAAACACTCGTGGCGGCATTCTAAGCTTCCAATGCTCTCTCTGTGCATTCACAGTCGGCACATTCACGCCTGATGCCAGAGAAGGCTTCGAAATATTGAAACGAGTAAGAGAGACATCCCATCGTGCGATCCACTAACTCTAAAGTGAGACTTTTACGAAACTTATCCTGCTATCTCTCCATGCATACAAAATCAATGTTTCTACATATACCGCCTGAGAAAGGTGCCAAACCCTGGAGACACTTGCATCATTTGCCCCTTCGTGCAACTAGATGCTCCCGAGATGAAACACATACGGCGCCTCAGGATATCTCTGTATGCATTCACGGTCAGAGACCCCGCACATGCTACCACCGAAACATCACAACATTTGGAGAACGCATGAGTCCACCGGACAACTCATACCATCATGATAAGCTTTCACCATCACCTTTCTCCTTCACACGGCCAAAGAAACATTTCCAGACACAGAGACTGCATAAGCTCATCGGCCTTCTCAGGTTATGGCTTTATTCGTTCGCGATCAAGATTATCATACACCTGGCCCCAGAAACAATTCCAACTTTGGAGTCGACGAGAGTACACTGGATTCCTCACGGCATCGCTCTATGTGCTGGAGGTCGAACTGTCTACATTTAGGGCCACAGAGGCAACCAGAAATCGAGAGACAGCGGCAGTTTTCCTGAGTCCATGCCACAACCTTTGTCTATTCGATATCGAGATTTCCATATCTATGACCACAGAAGCGTTCAGTTATACGGAGAACGCGACAATTTATCAACCATCTTACACTTTCTCTCCATTCACTCGCCTCGAAGTTTCCCACATGTACCGCCACAGAAACGTCCAGAGATCCGGAAGCAGTGACATTCGTCAGGCTTCTCGCGCCATTTCTTTGTGTATGCGCGGTCAAGGTCTCCCTACGCAGGACCACAGAGGCATCTCAAGATCCAGAGTCATTCACGACAGAGTCACAAATACATTGAAACTGAAGCAAGAAACGAGTCGTCAGTTCACGAGAAATCAATTACTTTTATTATCTGCCATTCACGGCAGAGGACGCTCACTTCTCCTCACTTCTCTCCAAGCGCAATCACTTCATTTCCAACCACCCCGTCCTCTCCAGCCTCCCCATCTCCCTCTCCATTCCCACCCTCGCCTCACGCACGCCGACCTTCTCCGCATGCGAATCCAACATTCTCACGCCCATGTACGAGCTCTGTCCTGCCCAAAGATGTGCCAAATGCTTCCTCTCCTCCCGAACTTTCTTCTTCAGCTCTCGTTCCTTGACTCTCAAAATGATGACTTCTTTCTCCAAGAACTTGCCATATTCTCCCAAACCCTCCTGTCTAACCAACTTGTTGACACGCAAAATAGCCGGCTCAAGCGGCTCCGTAGCAGCAGCAACAGCGTCTTTCCATGCTGAAGTCGAAAGAGGTGGCGGAAGATAATCGTGCTTGCTTGTGCGCTGCTGCGTCGTGCGATAGTCCTCCCAGCGCTGCTCGAAACACTCGTTGTAGATTTGTAGACGGATCTCCGCGGGCAGATCGAATATTCCCGCCTTCTTGTTCTCGGATGATGGTAGTGGTGGCGAGACGCAGAGCTGGGCGAGTAGCTTGATGGTTCTCTCTGGAGCGCTCAACAAAAAATCTCGAGCAAAGGGATCGAAGATTTGTCGCGGTTTCCTGTTGTGTGATGTAGGTTCTTGTGCTTCTCGGAGGAGTGGCGAGATGAGGGCTGAAATCTCCTCGATGAACATGTGCGTTGCCTTTGACTGTATGTTGTATGTCGACTCGGTCGGTAAGGTGGCGGCGAGTGCTACTTTGTTGAGCGAATTGTCAGTCTCTCCTCTTCTATCTTTCGTGTAGTATGTAGTGGGGTTGAGCTCGCCCAGTGGCATTCTGGGGGCAACGCGGCGCGCCATCTTGTCTAATGTACGTGATGGTGGTAATTCTTCATTGTGCGGAAGCGCTCTTGAGCAAGTCGGCAGGGCTGACGCATGACTCAGTCGGTGTGCGTTATCTGGTGGGCCTAGCTGCAGGCATCAGGAAGTGAAGCGCAACGGGCAGGCGAAGAGACAAACAGTCGTGGATCCCGGTCGTCGCAACTGAGGTCCAGGCCCACGCAACCGTTCCTGAACGCGACACTTCACTTGAGAAACACCTGCCGCACGGGGCTGACGAGAAACTGGTCTCCATTCTGACAAAACACTATCAAGATATCATGCTATTACACACTCCCAGCATACTCCACGCTTTTCAACAAAGATCACTAGTTATTTCCTGACAAAAGAGATATGCTTTGCCGTGGTTGGTATCAGTGTAAAATGACAATCGCCGTACCGTCGCCCTGCTGCGGCTCCTGTTCTTTTTCTTGTCACATCAAGCACCCGATCCCTAGTATAAAGACATGAAAGTAAAGAGAGTTCCATTCAATACTCCACAAACTTTGCAGCATCAGAAGTCTATCCTTGGCTGGCAGGTCCACGAGTATGATTTGGCGTGCCATGCGATCCAGCAATGCTCGGAGGGGCTGCGTGAGCAGCTGGCGGTGGTGGTGGAGGAGCACTGTCCACCGGCAGTCGCACTTTGCCCATATTCGGCTGCGGTCTTGCACCCCATGTCAGCAAGCAAAGTCAGAAAAGCCACGCAAGGTGAAAGAGAGTAAATTATCAATGCTCCAAGTGCTGGGTATCATTTTTGAAATGGAAGCATGTCTAGTACCCGTTCATGGTCATGCGCTGGCTTTGTCTGCTGAGCTCCCGGTCGGCTGCTGGGGAGATGGGCCGGCTACCACCGTGCACTTGGGCGGAGCTCTCCTTGAGTGCGAGCAGCTGCTTGGCACGGAAAGACTCGTAGTGGATCTGAGAAGTGGTCTCGATCAGGTCCTGCAGGTGTGTGCGCGTCAGGAAGTCGCGGAGATAGACAAATTCGCAGTGCTTCTCGTCCTCGACGTTGATGGTTCCCCAGCGGTTCTGGCGGCCACGCACGGTCTTGCCGTTAACGTTGATGTTGCGCTCACTGCCGACAACTGCGAATGGAATGATGGACTATTGAAGTCAGTAGAGCTTACAGCGCAAGGCGTAGAAGCTGCCATACCTTGATCTGGGAGTTCATTGCCGCCTCCTCCGAATCGTACTCCTCATTCTCGTAGGGGTACATGCGGATGTTGTGGAAAGCAAACTCCTCCTTGATGCGGTCCTTGAACAGCTGTCTCTCCTCCAGAGTGAGACTATCAGACTTGGCGATGACAGGCACGACATTGACCGTCTCACTCAGCTTCTTGAGCACGACAATATCAATTGGCTTCAAAGAGTGGCCAGTTGGGGAGATGAAGTACAGGCAGCAGTGAATGCGAGTGTCCTGAATGTATCGCTCACGCTGGGCAGTCAACTCTTTTCGCAGGTATGCGCTGTGTTGGTCCTTGATGTATTTGACGATAGGATCCCAGCAGCGGTCGTTGTTGACCAGATCGCCATAGCCAGGAGTGTCGACAATGTTCAGGCGCAGACGCACACCGTTCTCCTCAATGACATGTGCAACTGGGTGGATCTCGGTGGTTTGGCGGATAGGCTCGTTGGGTGTGAGACGGCCCTTGCTGTCGACGAGGTGCGATGCGAAAATGGTGTTGATGAGAGTCGACTTGCCGAGACCGGTTTGACCTATTCGTGAAGACGGGTGTTAGCTCCTCATCGCCCAATGGGTGAATGCCAAGTCTGCTTCCAGGCGCAAATGTGCAGCATGGTGATGTGTTTGACGTACCGACACAGATGACGTTGAATTGAAACCCGCGCTTCAACAGCTTCTTCTCGATCTGGGTGGTGATGCTGTCGAAACCAACGTGGCTCTTGGGAAACACGCTCTGGGGCTGCTGCGCATTCATCGTCGCGGCAGCCATGGTCGCTGGCGGTGCGGGCGGTGTCCGGAGGAGATGGCGGTGGGTGTTTCGGGCGGAGTGAATTCAGCGAGCGACGGCGATGGCAAGGCGATGTGGTTAACGGGTCGAGGGAGGTGTTCCTGCTGCGAATGGTATAGGAGCGGGATGGAGAAAGTGCGGACGTGTCCAAGCTCAAGGGGTCCGACAGGGGAAGCCGCGACCTCCACCGCCAATCACACGACGAGGAAGCGGCCGCCATTTATGCAGCATTATTAGCAGAATCAAGCGCGCTGCAGATCTGCCCGCCCGTGATGAAGCTGCTACGCAGTGACAGCACCGCACACGAAACACAGCGCCGACGACATCGACACAATGGCGACGTTACGAGCTCCATCAGCATCTCTCCTCTCGGCCTTCCTCCCGGTGGTGCGCGCGCGTCTCCTTCCACAAGAAGCGGCAGTGCGCCGGATACCTCTTCTCCAGCAAATACAGCAACTTCGAGCAGCCGCAAGCCTTTTACCTGCCGTGCTTGTGCCCATTCCATCATTACTCGAGCAAATATGGGACGGAATACTGAAGGCGGTGCCTAAGAAGAAGACGAGCCACATGAAGAAGCGGCATCGACAAATGGCAGGCAAGGCACTGAAGGATGTTACCGCATTGAACAAGTGCAGCGCATGTGGGAGGGTCAAGCGAGCACACGTGCTATGTCCATACTGCGTGAACAGTAGGCGAGATACGATTCGGGTCGAAAAGCGATGATACTGACTTTGCAACAGGCATCAAGCAATGGTTCGCCAACGGCTTCAAGTCAAAGCAAGAGGTGGAAGCCGACAAAGAGAAGAAATTTGATGAGCTCAATGCGGAACGAGAACTTTTGGGTAGGAAGCCCTACAGATGGGAAGATTTGTACGACGATAAAAAGACGGACGCAAAAGTGTAGGAGGCCGAACTTGCAACATTCCAGCATAGCACAGGCGTTCGGACCGTGGGACCCGCTCCAGGGAAAGGAGCTGTAGAGAATATACACCGCAATGGTATGTACAAAGGAATTCGACAGATTCAACAACGGCCATGGTCCTACTTGCCGCGTGGCTTTCACGAAGTGCAAGAGGAATGCCATCACAAAGAAGCCAAGCTGCACTTCCGAATCCGGACCAGGTCGAAGAAGGTGAGCTGAAGCATTATCCACGTTGAACATGGGTATCTTCAGATTGGCTATGATGCCGTTGCTCCCAGCGAGCTGCAGAACGAAATACCAATGAACGGAGGTATACTCACGCAGGCACACAATGCCGCTGTGGAGGCGGAGAGAGGGCTGCCCTCCGGCACTCTCATCCAAATCTACCAAAGGCGCGAGGACCTGATCCGAGCGGCCGGTCGAGCTCTCTTCACGCAGCTTCGATATGCTCCGCCCACTACAGATCAGCTGCGCAAAGCAGCGCGCAATCACTTCATCTCTCGCATGGCAGCCTCTCTCGAGCTCCATATGCCGATGTGGGTCGAGTACGCAACTGCCGGACCACGACCGTCTTTTGAACAGGTGATGCAGCAAGCCGATGGTAATCGTGAGCCGCTGATGCATGGCTTGCCCGCATGGTTCACAACCGAGCATAATTCCTGGCTGGCTTCGATCACCGGATTCGATGAGTACGAAGTCTTGGAGTCATACCAGCAAGACCCAAATGTGCAGCGTATCGTGGAAGAGATACGAGTCGGCGGGCCTGCGCCTGCATATGGCGAGCTCTTTACACCTCCGCCATATTCTCCGCCACGTCCACGAACATTCGCAGAGGAACGCGCTTTCGGCGATCCTTGGATCCGACGTCCTTCGATCTCCAGAAGGCCACATTTGGGAGACCGATACAACAACTCAAGGCTTCCGGACTCAATCGCAGCAGCCGATCCTTCGAACTGGGTATTTCCCACTGAGCGTGCACCACCTGCGAATGGGGGTGCCAGCAGCGATAGTCCGCCTTCTTACAGCAATGCAACGCGTGACCCAGCGAATGCCCACGCAAGACGCAGAGCTCGTATTTATGCGGCGACCATGACCGGCAGGCTTTCCAAGCTGCTCCCGCCATCTGATATCTCTGAAGTTGAGACGGTGACGGAAAGTGACTCGACTGACACTGACGAAGATCTCATGTCCCAGCTCGGACATTTCTTGCAAGCGGACACTTCTCTCTCTACAAACCATCTGGTGCCAGGGCTGTTCAACTACAGACGCCCAAGCATTTCTGGCTTCTCGAATGCCAGGTCTGGGCCGCCGCACGCGCCTACACCACCTGCCTACTCTCACAATCGGCACCTCTCGCTGCGCGGTGCAACACCTGCTCGACGGCTCAGTCTTGCGCCGCTGGCCCCGTCGTCGCAAAGGGCATATGGCAGCTTCAACGGCGTGCCCCAGAGAGTGCCAGTGAACCACCGGTCAACTTCACAACGTCATGGTCGTCTGCAGAATACGCCTCGCTCAGAACATCGCGCGAATAGCGCATTACAAGCCGTGGAGGCAGGTGTGCTGAACGGTGTGCGCGACGCTTGTTTGGAAGCTCACGACCCTACTGTGGAAACAGAGACAGAGAGTGAGAGTGAGTTCGAGGGGTTTTCAGATGCGGTGGAGGATGAGCCAGAAGCTCCTATGAAACGCGACAGTGTTCCTCGAAGGAAGTCGAGTGTCGGAGGATCAGCGAGAAGGACGAGAAGTAAGATGCAGAGAAGGACACAACTATGAATGAATAGTCGAAATACCAGTCTTCCTTGGATTCAGCTAAAGTGCAAAGTGCCAATTCGTGCTGCTGTTCTGTAGTGTGATATCGCGATCTCGACGCGTATCGAGTGACATCAGCTTCATCCCACTTCACATGTCGACTTGGACTTCGGCAACAACGTCCATTGCACTTTAGTGCAGAGCTTGTGCTCGTCGCCATCATGGTACGCCACCATGTAGTCGCCTACAAACGAGTTGTGCTAATCAGCTGTGCAGTCGAAGCAATACCTCCAAACGCTCACCATTTCCGACGCGCACCCCACCGACATCTTCTCTCTCGCCGTGACGCCCTCGCACCTCCTTACGGCATCCGGATCCTCGAGTATCAAGATTTACAGCACAAAAGGACAGACAATACACGCCGATAGCACCGAAGACGAGAATCCGTACCCTCTCGTACAGACTCTCGAAAAAGTCCACCCACTGGGCTGTCACCACATCTGCACCAGCCTTGACGGCAAAGTCGCTGCCTCAGTCGGCTTCGCGGGCGATCTCAAACTATGGCAGAACAATGAGGAGTCCGACACATGGAAAGAAAAGGGACAAATCATCACAGACAAAAAGAATGCCGGCGAGCACTGGGCTCCCGCTCTAAATGAGAACGGACAATACCTTGCCGTAACGACTTCAGATGGCCGCGTCAATGTCTACGACACCTCAAGCATCACGCCTGCGGCCAGTTCGGCAGAGAAAATTGCCCAATATGAGACTAAGGGCTCTTTTGGCATGTCCATCGACCTCTCGCCCAATGGGGAAATGACCGCAACCGGGCACCAAAACGGCAGCATCTACATCTTCAACAACTCTACGAAACGTCTTGCGCACTCCCTTTCCGGTCTTATCAAGCCCGTCCGCGGCGTAAAATTCTCCCCTGCGAACAAGTTCCTTGCAGCGGCGGGCGACTCACGCATTATCGCACTCTACGATACGCAGTCTGGGGAGCAAGTTGCGAACTTGACGGGCCACGGCAGCTGGATCACGAGTCTGGACTGGAATTGGAGTGGAGAATTCTTAGTAAGCTGTGGATACGATGGCAAGGTGAAGGTGTGGAGTATGGAGCGACGGGAATGCGTAGCGACGCAGACGGAGAGCGAGAAGTGTTTATGGGGTGTAAAGTGGTTGGTCCAAGGCCCGAAGGCGAGGAATGAGGTCTTCGTCACGGGCGGCGCGGGCAAGGGTTTGAGCTTCTACAGAGAGGCTAGCGGGACATGATGGAGATCTGGGGAGCAAATGGAGCATTAAGGTGCTTTGATGGCATAGATGGACAGGACCACGCAGAAATGTCTCTGGCGATGACTTCATGTACGTTTACGATACCCATGGCGCGATGCTGATATTCTGTAGAACGGGTGTGTTGCACAGCTGCAAAAAGCGAGTGCGTTGTACAGATGACAATACGACAGACTTCATACTCTTCTACACCATTTCGCACAGTACGCCCCAAGCTACCGAGCTCAGGTCTACCTGCTCAAAGCTCGACTCAGAGCTCGCCATAACGAACGTAGCGAATTACCTTTCGGGTCAAGATATCATACCCGCTGCAATGGGCATTCTCAGAAGATGTCAATTGACATAATACCTCGGCCGCTCTCCATCCTTGTATCGCACAGCTGGCTTCCTTCTGACTCCATCGGGGTTTCGAAATCTCACTTCAGCAGGGTGAGGTCGGTTCTGCGAGTTCATACGTTGGGCATTACTGCGCTTCACATTGGACTCTGTGGTTGACCCTTTGAGGTGCGGGCGATCAACCGAATTCTTGCGCATCGCATCACGGCGCTTTAGCTCGTCCACTTTGCCTATGACAAGAGTTAGATGGTGATGATGGACTCGCACAGTGAGGCGCAATCCTACGTACCTGGCTCAGCTCTCCTTTCGACAGGGGTTTGCTTCTTGCCTTTGCTGAAGCAGGGAAGCGTGAATCGAGCTCGACTTCCACCATAATAGTTGCCAGCACGCGCGCGACGAGCTTCGCGAATAGCTCGGATGGTTGCTTCATCAAGATCTCCATACTCTTCGCCGTAGCTTCTGGCTGCGGCTGGACGACCGTAGCTGCCAACCGTAGCGCCAGTAGAGCTTGGGGCATTCGCAAACAGCCCGTTGCCTCCACCTCCGTTGAACGAAGACGGATAACTGCTTGCCACTGGCCTGCTTCCAAACAAGCCACCATTGTTGGATACGACTGGAGAGGCCGCACCCAGACCTCTGCCGAGAGTAGTGCTATCGGCTCGTGGTACGTTTCCGAAAAGTGGACTGCGAGCTGACAGCGGAGTTGGCAGAGTCGAACCGCCACCAACGTTCGGCTGCAAGAATCTGCTCCTGTACGCTGGGCCTGGCACACCGGGTTGGTAAGCAGGACGCAGGCTTGATGGATGGTTCCAGGTTCCTAGACTCGTTGGATTGCCATATACAGAAGCTGCTGGAACGGCGTAATCGAAGCGAGGACGAGGCGCAGGAGCCGGGATCTCCTCGATCTCGTCATCGTCCTCGTCTTCATCCTCATCGGTGTAATAGTCTACTGGCTCCGGAGCGAACTCTTCAAAATCATCGCCCTCGGTCTCGATCTCCTCGTCATCATCCTCCTCCTCTTCCTCCACAATCTCATCAGCCAATTCAACATTCTCCGCTTCATCATCCGACGGCACCGTAACTTGCGGCACCCTCACCGGCCCTTTTCTCTTCACTCCACCTCTTTGCACAGGAGTCGGTACCTTACCATGGCTCAATGATTGAGCATCTCTCTTCCTAATCGCACTCCTCCTCATCGCCTCCACTCTATCGCCCACAGTAATCACACACTCCTTATTTTGCTCCCGCGCAGCCTTCTTCTTCTCCTCCTTTATTTTCCTCATCGCGGCTTTTCGTTCTGCTTTCTTCACCTCTCCTAATTCTAACTCAAGACGCAGATATTCGATAACATTTGGGAGTTGGTGCTTGAAGGTCCAGCGATACGCTTCTGTCAAGGCTCCTGGTGGAAAGTTGTTTTCGCGTTCAACTTTGCGTTTGTGAGCTGATGTGAAAGGTAGAGGATCACCAGTCTCTGGGTCGATTTCGTTGTCGGAGGAGTAAGGAACCTCTTCTTCTTCTTCTTCTTCTTCTTCCGACACATCTTCAACGAGGCGCATGGCGGTGGACCGCGTTCGAGGGGCCATTGTGGTGTTGATTCTTGGTATTCAAGGTGGTAATGAAGTGGCGAGTACGAGATACGCACTCTGGCCGAGGGAATGGAAAAGGTAGAGCTGGAAGTTGGAAGACATTGTGATCTTGGAGCTCGATCATGTGTGCTGGAGTGTGAGACAAAGAAGCGGTGATGCTTCATTGTCTTTGGCTGAAGAATGTGGCTTGTTGCCGGATGCGGAAGGTTTACATGTCACTAAAAGACTTGTCGCATCACAATAGGCAAGCTGTCAGTCCGGATTCAGGATGCGAATATGAACAAAGGGAAATTCTCTGGAGTCGAACTGAAAGATGCACTGACGTGGTGTTGCAGTGTCCACGACAGAATTGTCCCAATGAGCACTCTCCCACAACCTCGCCACACGATGCTTCTATTCCTGCGATACATTTCTCCACTTTGCGCAAACGCTCAAGCTCAAACCTCACACTCTCCAACTCCAAAGGAGACCATTCCTTGCGAAGTTTGCCATATTCATCCTGTCGCCTCATAGCCAAAATAGTCTCACTATTATAATTGAAAGTACATACTACACTTCTCGTGACGCCAGGCTCTCCGCCGTAGGGAACGCGAAATACCCACCCATTCTGGCTCCGTGTCCCTCTTCGCCTTAGAAAGTTCTTGTACTCTGATAGTCCTTCCTTTCGGAATAGCCTGCATGTCTTGATTATAGGCGCTTCGAGGCCGAAAAACTCGCTGGGGTCTTGCAAATATTCTTGGGCATCCTGAGATGTCCGGAAGCTGATGTTGTTGGTGGAGCGCATTTGCGTGAAGGGGTCTGAAGGATCGGATGGCTCATCGAATACGTGCCTCGCGTGGTTGGTTCAGTGCATTCCGAAGGCCTGTTCGCGAATTATCATTCTGAGCTCTGGTGGGATCGTCAAAATCGTCGCATCGGCCTTTCGTAGACAATCCAGCTCGGATTCCACATGCTCCGCTGTGCTCTCTCCATCATCGCGAGAACCGTAGATTCCGCAGATACAACCAAGGCTCTCTACCATCCAAGCGATATCCAGCTCCGCACTTCTTATAACGACGAAGTCTTATGCAAGCTCGATTCCTGGCACCTGGACCTGCTGGTCCGAAACCAACCTTTCCTTTCAGAAACCTTCTGTACTCATCGTGACCCTCTTTGTAGAAGAGCTTGCAAGTGTGCAAAACAGGAGGATCCAGGCGACTGTATTCGCTGTTTCGCTTGTTTCCCTTGGTACGTGAAGGTCCGCTAGCCCTCTGAAGCTCAACAGCATCCCAGATGTGTTCGGGATCTGACATTCGACATCCTGGAGGTGAGTCCACCCGAACGTGTCTCCCATGTTTCTCCCAGTGCTCTTCAAACACGTAACCATAGATGGATGCCCTTAACTCCGTCGGAATCTTCAGAATGGACATGTTGGCGAGTGCGGGCGCTGCGTCCTGCAAATGTTGTGGCTTTGATAGCTGGGTCTTGAACTATTGTGCCTTCCGTTGGTGTGGAGTCCTGGAGTCTCGACTCACTGATGATAGTACCTACTGATCGTGTCAATAAGGAAGTAGAACGTGGCCAAATGCTGGGCCGAAGGTGGAGACGACCAAATCGGTGGGTCTTGTGCTACGCTTCATGATCTTGGAGTTGTACAAGTTATCAGGCACCCGCACTATAGCGCTTGTGCCTAAAATTGACGGTAAAGAGTTGACCAGAAATGGCAAAAGCCCAACGGGTTTTGGCCTTCCGTCCTGGCAAAACATCCTCTCCCTAGACAACCTGCGATGACCTCAAGTCATTCCCCTCAGGTATGTTCGCCAACTCTTCACCAGTTTCGATCGCGGGCATCGAGTCTGGAGTCGAATTTCTCTTGATACCCTTGCGGCATTTCGGCCTTCTCCTCGCCTTCTTTGCTGCACGTTGCTCGACCCTCCGCAGGCGCTTCAGCTCCTTCTCCGCATTTCGTGCACTCCACTCTTCTTCATTCGTTGGGGATTTTGGGAGTCCCATTTCAAGAAGGCGTCTTATTTCCGTAAGGCGCCCCCAGCAATCGTAGGGTTCCTCCCGGTCGCGACTGAGAGCAGCTTCCCGTTCCTGCTGAGCATCACAGATCACTTGCAGAAATCTCTGATACTCTCCGATACCCTCCTGCCGGAATAGTTTGCAAGCCCTCAGGATAGGTGGCTCCAGAGCAACAAGCTCGGGTTTCACCTTTGGCTGGTCCTTAGACCACGCCTTCAGTTCGTCCTCCGGCATGCATCCTGCATAAACATTTATGAATAATTCTCGAGCACTAAGTGGCCTATTATCCTTGTGGTCCTTCCAATGTCCCTCAAATGCAAGCTCATAAATCTTCAATCTCAACTCCACCGGCAGGCCTAGTAGTGTCGCACTTGCTCCAGCGTGAATGCATATTTTGGCGAACAGCGAGATCGTATACTCAGTCGCCGATGTCAGAGAAAATTGGTCGAAATGATTGTATCTGATCATCGGCAGACCGAGAGTGTCATTGAGTATCAGAGGCCCTCGTGGCATGACCTTGACGAGACTGGCGATGAAATGACCGCGTGGACGAAACGGGATAAGACGTTGTCTGGGCGCGCGATCGACTGCCATGTCGGCAATGATGTGGAAATCGTGGTTTGAGTGGGTTGAATTCGTCGATGGGTCTGAGGAAAACTCTGGTTCTAGCGGCGTCGTCTTCGTCGGTCTTGTCGTGGACGCTGCAATGGTGCTCCTTGTCGGAGGTTCCGATTCCAGTAACAACTTGCTTCTCGAGCGATTGTACTTCGGCGCCTGGCTTGTGGGGTGTTCTGCTTTTGGCGACATCTTGTTGGTCGTCGCCTTCGCCATTAGCACGGCAAGTGTGTAGCTCGTGAGTAGCGAGTTTGTGGGTTATTGGGGTGCGAGGATCAGCTCAGGTTTGGAAACTACTTGTAAGGTTCATGAAGTGAAGCCGGCACTGAAGAGCAAACGCTCTGCTTCACTTCAGCACTCACCTCGTGCTAACGCCCACTGTAACATACACCTTCACCTAACACACCAACCAGTTGCCGGAGCGCTGCTCGCCCTATGCTCTGCAATGCCGAATAATCTTCTCCACCAGACTGTCCGTCAATAGCACACCGCGTCCTTCTGCGACCTCGAAATCTGAGTCTTATCGCCCTTAGCGACCTTTCACACCTCTACCCCTCATTGCACGTTGCTCAATCCTCTGCATACGCTGCAGCTCAGCCTTCGCATTTTCCGCCTTCCGCGTAGCGGACGTATTGTTTCCAGCGCCCTGTGATGTTGCGCGCACTAGCCTCCAGAGCCCGGACTGATGGAGGGAGCCCAGGGAATGTCAATCTACGGTACTCAGCGCGCATGACCATGAACTCAAAAACCTCGTCCCACTCGTTCCCCAAGTGCCGGACATCAAGTGCCTTCTCGAGAAAGTTCTTGTATTCTTCAATACCCTCTTTGCGGAACAGCTTGCAAGTGCGCAAGATTAGAGGCTCTAGAGGATAGCGTACGATGTCGTCTTTCTTGGGTGGGGCCCCTTTCCAGCGTTCACCCAGAACGCTGCACAACTGGAGAGAAAACATCGGACCCTTCATACTTTCCTCCCAGTGATCCTGGAAAGCAAACTCGTAGATTTTCAACCTCAGCTCCGGGGGGATCGTCAGGAGTGTGGGAGCCCATCTCGCCTTGATGCACACTTTGGCAAGCAGCGAGATAGTCTGTTCGGGCGCAAAGACTAGAAAGACATGTGCAAAAGGGTTGAACATGCTCGACTCCTTGGAATGTCGGGCGGTGTCGCACGAAGGTGGGTGGTATAGTGGTGCATACTCAACAAGACCAACAATGAATTGGCGGCGAGCCTCGAGGGACTTCGTATTGGAGTGCGAGTTCGAGTTCGAGTCCGAGTTCGAGTCGGGACCGCAAGCCATTATAGCATTCGAGCGCTTTGATTTCATTGCCTTTGGTGGCATCTTCTTCGTTACCTCAGTCAATGGCGCAGTGGGTGTTTTGTTCTTCGCCAGTGGCGAGATTGTGGTTTGTTGTTGTAAGTGCGGATACCGGCGAGAGCAGCTGATAGTCTTGCATTCACCGCACCCATCTTGGTACCACAATATCACAAGCCACACAAACCAGTTACCGGAGCCTCACTAGAGGGGCCTGAGCAAAAGACAATATCATTTCGTTTCTTCCTCAATCATCATCATCACCCCAGAAAAATACATACAAGAACCACTAATCAACTAACCTTCAATCATGCCTCATGGGCTGGTTGCGAACTTCGCAAACCATACTGTATGCTTTTCATTCATATGCCCAGTAGCAGTCCACAAGATTCGTTTGCCTCGAGGGAATTGTGTCGTGAGTGGGTAAAGTCGCACCGCAACTCATCCATTGACTCCAAATGAAGTCTGCCGTATCGCATAATCAGTTCATTCCCAGCCTCTAGCGTTCAACGCCAGACAACGCCATACTCAATCTCGAACAAACAGACGCCGCGACTTCATGCAGCCTCAGTCGCTGCTGTCCTGCGTGCAGCCTGAAAGCCCGCTACTCGACAGCTCGCGTCGACCCCAGTTCTTCAGTGCTCTGCAAGGATTCTATCCGTCGCGAGTCATGGTTCTCTGCAGACCAACGCCTGCAACGCTTTTGCTCTCGCCGTCAGGATCAGCAGGGTTGACGTCTTTCTGTGTGCGGATGCCCACGCCATTTACTTCTTCAGGAGCTGGATTCTCGCTCCTCTCGTCGGCTTCATTCCGAAGCTCGTACGCCAGATCGAAACATTCTGCAAGAAGAGCAGAGACTGCGCCTTGACCTTCGGGGATGTCGTCGCCAATCATAAACTTGCCGTCTTTTCTCATGTTGTCGATGCTGTTGATCTTCATGCTGTAAGGATACAGCTCGCGAGGAGAGTCGACACCTCCGTTCTTCTTGACTTCCAACAGACATCGCTTGAGCGTCTGCAGCTGATTGTAAATGGGGAGGAGAGCTTCTGACACAGGCTCCGAAGAGATAATGTACGTGTAGATCAACGCGTAGGACTTTCGAAGCAGGTACAACAGAGTTCGTTGCGCGTGAAGATCGGCTGGTTTCCCCTGGGCGTCCACAAAGTTTCCATCGACCCTGCTCTCATCAATGCGATCAAGTTGTCGTTGGAAATCGTAAAGGTCAGTCTCGCGCAGCGACCAAGCCTGCGTGAAGTTAATGTGATCAAGTGCAGTCTTGATCTTGAGCAGCTTGTCGTACAGCTCCTTGAAATCCGGATCGATCTTGCCCTTCTTCTGCTGGATGATCTCCACCCACAGCAAGCATCTTGCGAGCAGACCTTTGACGACCATATCCGGTTCCTTGACACAGCTCGGGCAATCCTGAATCAACTGCAACCTCTCTGCGTATACTTCTTCCGCGGTCTTGCCTTCATGTGGATCGCGTTCAGCGTGCAGCTGTTCCTGGATCTCCAGTAATTGTCTCTCGAAGTCCTTGACCTCTCTTTCCGGGAACTGAAAGTCCTTGTCAGCGCAATGTCCAACCTCACACAACACTGCGAAGTACTCACTCTCGATCTCGTATTGCACGCGCTCAAGCTCCTCAAAATGCTCACCAACTTCTGATAAGCTTTCATCAGATCCCCGTCCAGATTCGAAAGCGGCACCTTTAATTCCTCCAATGTCCTCTTACAGACATCGATCCTCGCCGACAACAATGTCAGGATCTGCTCACTGTGCCCAAACTCATCTCTCCCTCTCTCAATCATCCTCTCCCATTTCGTCAAATGCTCATCAATGCTCTTCAGATCAGCCGGAAGGTAGAAGCCAGCCTCGCGCAAATGATTCAGCAGACGATCGACGGTACTTACGCAGGAGTAGATTGCGGGAGCTTCGCGGTTACGTCCAACAGTAAGGAACAGTAAAGAGATGAGACGGAAGCAGTCATCGAGGACGGTATCGACACGATTTTGCTCGTCACGTTTCGTTTCTCGTATGCGGTTGAGAAGTTCGACTTGCTCGATGAGCTGGTGATAGTATTTCTGAACATCGGCGGATTTGATGTAGGTTGAACGATCACTCTTCATGAGAGAGAGGTGGTCGCGGATGATGAGCACGCGATCGAGGATTGGCTGTTCTTTCGCGTCCAGCGGGCAGCGCTGGAATGGTGAGTCGGTCATGGCGGAGGCGTTTGATGTGTCGATTTGGCAGTGGAGCTGGCGGTGGTGAGCAGGCGGCGGGAGGCGATTATTATACTGCTTTTGCTGCTTCGCTGGGTGGCTGCTGCTTCATAATCCGGTGGGCACATGCAGAGTGATCACCATCGGACGTTGGCGGCAGAGGCAAGCAAGTCACTTCCCGTCCTCGGGGTCCAGATGCAGCCCCGCTCGCTTCCTTCCTGCCACAAACTTCGTCATTTCCTGCCTTACTTTGTTACCGTCAGCCTCAGGCATAAACATTGCCAAGACTTCACTCCGGCCTGCCGCACCGCGATTCTGCAAAGTCAGTTCCAGACGCCGAGCGCGCGAATAGAGAAACATCCTTCCAACCACAACCCTCCGCGAGAAGAAGACCTTCACGACCTTGCTCGCTGTAGGCATCTCACCCTCAAACCACAACAAAGACTAAACCAAAATGTCCACCGCCGAGCTCGCCTCTTCCTACGCCGCCCTCATCCTCGCCGATGAGGGTTTGGAGATCACTGTACGTCTACACTCCCACAGCCTCAGCGCATCTCTGTCCAGGAAGAACAACTTCTAACACTTTCTTCGTACAGGCCGACAAGCTCCAGGCACTCATCACCGCCGCCAAGGTCCCAGATATCGAGCCAATCTGGACTTCCCTCTTCGCTAAGGCCCTCGAGGGCAAGGACGTCAAGGAGCTCCTGACCAACGTCGGTTCCGGCGGTGGTGCCGCCCCAGCTGCCGCTGCCGGTGGTGCTGCTGCTGGCGGTGACGCTGGTGGTGACGCCCCAGCTGCTGAGGAGAAGAAGGAAGAGGGTGAGTTCTACAATCTGCGTTGCGAACATGAGACTGGCAACGAACAAATGCTGATTCCAAACAGAGAAGGAGGAGTCCGACGACGACATGGGATTCGGTCTCTTCGACTAAGCGGATCGCGACCACGACGTTTTGGAGGACACCCGCCACGACTCCATCTGCGAACAGACAACCATGCACGGCAGGTGGTGATAGAAGTCTGGCACAAGGGACTGGTGGGTTTTGGACAGTACCTTTACTGGTATCTGAGTCAACAGCGAGGATCTGCAAGCGCATTATCATGCAATGGAAGAATTTGTGCAGAGGAGGAGCACTCCGTGAGCGCATTTCGTGGCTATGAGTACAAATGCAAATCAAGCGCAAACCCCAATCCTACAAATTTTCAGTGCCGCCTTTTCTTCTACCTCTACTAATAACAGTGTGCATTGTACAATCCCGCCTCCATGTCAATGTGCCACGCTATGCACTGGTAATACTACAAGGCCGTCAATGCCTGGGTATCATAGTCTCGTAATCTCATCATGTCGTGATGCGTCCCTGCCGCTTGATTGGATCTGACCATGCCTTCATCTTTCCAACCTGGCAACATGGAATGTACCGCAGTCTCGCACGCCGAGTCGAGCAAAAGCAAATCCAGAAACTCCTATTCAACCGAAATCCAGATAGCCGCGCCCATTAAGTATTCACGAACCTGGCTTGGGATAGCTGGGAAGGGGTAATGTCGGCGGCATTCTCCTGCTCTGCGAATTTGGCGGAACATTCGTCGGTAAGGGTGGAAGCGGAGGGAAACTATTATAATAGTCTGGCGTGCTGACTGCAGTCGATGGTGTCGGTGGTACCGTAGCCAGCACGGCTGGACCCAAGGCAGCTCCCAGAGGAGTTGCCGGAACAGGAGGCACTGCGCCCGATGCCATTTGTTGCGCCAAGGCAGTGTTGAGCGCGGTCGGCAAGCCGTTGTGCAATCCATTCGAAGGTGGAGGCCTTGCTGATGCCGGGGATGCGGTCTGTGCCGCACGCGTAACCTCTTTACAGGCTTGCTGGAGGGGTTTGAGACGGCCTCGAATCTGACCGATATCCAGACCCTCTCGCGCGAGTATAACGAGCTCATCGGCGAATTTTGCCCAGTCCTAAGAACGAATTAGTTGTGTACGACTAATAAAAGGCTCAGACCGATGCCTACCTTGCTGAACTGCTCCGCCATCTGCTTGAACTCGGCCTGATATCGTCCTGGATCCCCACCACGCATCGTCTTTAAGCGCGCGAGAAGCTTCATATTGGTTGCGATGGCAGACTCGCACTTGTGGTTCGCGGATGCGTAAAGTCCAGCAAGACGACTGTTGCCCGATCGGTCTGCCGCAGATCGACGGCCCTGAAGATCAGCGCGGACTGGCGGTAGTGTTGCTGCAGCCAGGTCACAGCAGGTTTTGAGCTTCGTGTATATCCTATCAGCGCTGTCTTCTGCATCGTTCTCGGTGACGCTCCGGATGGTATTGCTGCGTGATGGTCCACGGCTGTGTGTCATCGAGGAGAAGTCAGAGAAAGATTGGTTCCAACGAGGCGTGGTGGAGCCACCCATCGATGTCATCGTGTTGCTTCGACTCGAAGGCGTGTGCAAGGGCACAGGAGGAGCCATTCCGCGCAGGTTCGTAACACTATTAGAACTGGGTAGGATGGTTGCGCCCCTTCGGCGTGGACCTGCAAATGGCTTCGCCTGGGTCGGAGTGACAGTCCGGCTGCTCCAAGCTTGCGATGCCCGCAGCGTATCTCGAGGATTCGCAGCTACTGTCTTGAAGCCGAGCAGATGACAGACATTTCGCGCCTCTAACAAAGTGCCGTAGATGGAGTTGATGACCTGTCGAACATGGAAAGCGTCAACTCGTTTGACGCATTGTTGGCGATTCCGATTGAGCTCCTTGACGACAAAGACGTATGATCGCAAAGCCAGGATCGCGGTCCTCACAATCTGCATCAATGTCTGGCTGTCCACTTCCATGTTGTCTTCCATGATGTGGTTGGCCTTGTGTATAAGCCGATCCAGCTCTTCCACCTTGAAGTTCGCGCTCTGTAATTGCTTATCGAGTGTCGATCGACGCGGGGTCCCATTGCCAAGTTGTTGTGCGATGTCCGCGAGGGGTCGGTGCATGTAAAAGAGCATGAAAAGGACGCGCTTAACGGCTTTGATGGAGTTCATCGTCGGCACCATCGAGTTGCGGCTCTCCGGCAAGCTTGAAAGCGTACGCGACAACGCTATCCTGCTCACTGGTCCGTCCACCGGGCTGACGGCGCCAGACGAGCTCTCTCCACCACTGACGCCAAGGTAAGCTGAGTTGACGCTGGGCGCGCGAGAGTGTGGCGGTGTCAGTGTTGACGCCTGACTTGTGCGCGCAGACATCCGCGACGACATCTCGTCAAGAGAATTCAGACCCGTATGTTTGTGAGGTACATAACCTTGACGACGGTTCCGAATGCTTGCTGGTGTCGCAACAGTCTCACTCCTAGTTCTGTTGGAATCGAAACCACCGGTGAGGAGAGGAGTGATGCCGGGCCTCTTGGAAACGCTGAGATTCGAAGCGGACGAGACGCCGCGAGCGTGTGACCGCATTGGTATGGGTGGTGGTCCGTTCGGCGGCGACTCAGATTTTGGCAGTCCCTCAATATTTTCAATGCCACTGATGCTAGGACGTACCGGAAAGCGACCACCAGTCACGACGCGCCTCGGTGGACGGGGAGTCTCGGCATTACTGTGGTATACCAATTAGGCTTTTGCGCAACCTCAACGGGGAAGACAATCATACCTCAAGTCCTCGGCCGAGTCCGCCATTAGCCTTTCACGCATTGCAGCAGTTCGCATGAACTTTTTCACCTGTTGGCACATGTCTTTATCCTTCTCCGACTCCACCAGGCTGCGGTCTGTATTGGGCTTCAGAATCTCAGGCGGTGGAAACTCGATAGGGTTCTCGTCAAACTTCAACTTGACCAGATTCATTTCGCCAAGCGCGAGCGGTAGCCTCGTAATCTGGTTGCGAGCAACGGCCAGGAACTTCAAGTTGGTCATCTTCTTGATGTCCTCTGGGATGGAGTCTATGCAATTCTTGCTGATATCCAGAATCTCCAACTTGGGCAGCGCGAGCACCTGTTTGCTGTTAGCCGCCGCGTCGTCCTCATGTTCCTGTGCACCGTACCGCCTCGGGAAACGCCCTCAGCTTGTTCCATCTTAGGTTCAGATATCGCAACCGGTCGCACTGCGCAATCTCGGTTGGCAATTGTATGTTGCGGTTGTGTGAAAGTGCCAGCCTATTCCGTGTCAGCCTGTGGGCATTGTCCGTCTCGTGCCCCTTCCCCATTGACACACCTCTCCACGCGGTCTTTGATCAGCAGTACCACTTCCGCAGGTAGCACACTGATATTCTTATGGCTCAGGTCCAAAGTCGAGCCCGTCTGTTGGTCCTTGGGCAGTTCACCCGCGATGACTGCCGCCGCCTTCGCCTCTCTCTCCTGTTCATCCTCCAGTTCCTTGGTGACCAGCTCCACCAGCTGCTCGCTCGTCATTGGGGCGCGGGGCGCGATGGCGGTGGAGGTCGTCGCGTCGGCCATGACTGCATGGTCGAGGAGCGGAAGGGGGAGGTAGCGTGGCTGGCTCGGACGTCGCAGGGCAGAGAAGTTGATGGGGTCTGGGTGATGTTTGTCCATTTGCGCTTGCCGCATGCAGGAACCCGGCTAGATGCTTGTCCTTCACATGTCTCGGCGCGGTAGGGCTGAGGGCGAGGCCGACATCTGCAACATTCCACTTCCTCGCTCACACTATCGACCTTTGCGAATACATATGGGATGAGGGACTACAGTCTCCGCGTCTGTCGACGTTGGAGTACCAGCGCGCATTTGCGGTGTGGTCGCGCTCGATTCGTGCATCCCGTTGCACATCCGGCGGTACGCATCATTGGCCGATGCGGCTGCGGCAATCCAGGGGCCAGAGCGAAGTTGTGAACCTTCTTTCACCAATCGTCACTCTGGCACACAGAGGGCGTCCATGATTGTCCAGCGTCTCTGCAGAAGCGCGCAAGCTACGCCGTCACACAAAGCACCACTGGTATGGAGGAGATGGCAGTCCTCGCTGTCACTGGAACGCCTCCAGAAACCAATCCAGTCGTACATCTCGACGTCGCGTGATCCGTACTTGAACCTGTCCATCGAGCATCACCTGCTGCAGAAGAGTTCACCAGAGTCGGCCATACTGTTTCTGTACGTTAACAGACCGAGCATCATCATCGGACGCAACCAGAATCCCTGGGTGGAAGTAAATCTTGCGCTTCTCGGCCCGTCACGAAATCACCTGGCGACCGAACCTCCCGGGCTGGGAGCCGTGGATCTCGTGCGACGAAGAAGTGGTGGTGGCACGGTCTTTCACGATGAAGGCAACGTTAACTGGACCGTGATCTGCCCTTCTGCAGACTTCACTCGCGACAAGCATGCCGAGATAGTAGTGCGAGCGCTGAGAAGCTGTGGCGTAGAAAGAGCCCGCGTCAATGCCCGGCACGATATCGTGCTCGACCAGGGCACACGTGGAGTTGACACGGATCCTGAGGACACTCACAGCACGCCGTATGAAGCAACTGATTTCGATACACCACGGCCGCTCAAGGTGTCGGGATCTGCATACAAGCTCACCAGAAATCGAGCGCTGCACCATGGCACCTGCCTGCTCAACACTCCAAACCTCAACATAATCCCTGATTATTTGCATTCGCCCGCAAAATCATACATATCAGCGCGAGGAGTCGAGAGCGTCAGCTCACCCGTCGGCAACATCTTGCTAAGCAACGAAGACTTCGTTTCCGCTGTGCAGGAGCATTTTGCTAAACAGTATGGTGGGACCCGGGACCCGTTAGAGGTCGGCGCTGAATCGCTTGACGACGAAGTGGTGCGCAAAGGTTATGATGAGTTGAAGTCATTGGATTGGACCTACCTGCAGACGCCACAGTGGTCTATGAGTTCTTCGGATGATGTTGTACCAGGCGTCAAGCTGGACCTCTCTGTCAGATATGGCGCAGTCAATGGCGCATCTCTCAAGCTTGGGGACTCTTCTCGCGATATCAGCCAAGCTCTGAAAGACGTCAAAGTGCACGAAGTGTCAGACTGGGCATCTGTGATGCGGCCGGCACTCGCTCAAGCTGGAATCGAGTCTACCCAGGAAACATCGCTGTACCGTTGGCTGAACACGATGCTGCCAACTCGAAGGTGAAGCCTGCTCTCAAGCGTGCTACCACATGCTCAACCGAGGGCAAAGAAATGTAGGCTGCCATACTGGCATCGAATGTACAGATAACGACGATCTGCTGCGTCCAATCATGCACGGCAATAATGGAGACCACTCGAGAACGCTCGGCTTAAGAGTCCGCCGGATCTCTCCATTCATATTGGGCTCATTCCACGGGCCTAACGTGCTCGGCACGATGCTCCATGTCACCTTCATACCGCACAGTCGAGGGCTATTACTCGACAACTTATGGCAGAGATTATGGATGCGTGTATGCTTCAGTATACACTTGGCTGTACATTTCAACCACGCCCACGTGAAGTGCGAGTGTCGTTCGTGTTGAGGTCTGTCAACAGACACAATGGAGGGGTAGAAGCAGACTATGCACCCGTAAAGACATCTTTATAGTACAGCGACCGCCATGCATCGCACCGGGCGCATGTGCTGCGTACGCTCTGCCACCAGACGTAAAGCGCCATGCCGCGCAGCGCCCACCCTCGTGGTCTGCAACAGCAGACTGGTATCCGCGATGCTCACATCTTCTCTTCTCTTCTTCGTATTCTCCTGGATCCGTAACATCTGTTGCACTTCTCAAGCCAGACAAGAGAAAAGAGTTGTCCACCAAAAGCGAACCTGCCACACCACAAGTACTCTTGTCGAGCACCTCAAATTGCAGCAGGATTATGAAAGGTGATTGAAATCGATTTTGGCAACACAGGAATATACATTCGCCCAATAAAACTGCTGACGATATAAGGGTATAGGTGCCAATTTTATCAACTTACGGAAGAAAGAGGTTTGCAAGGGAGAATTTGGAAAAGTAGCTGCTCGGCGGGCGGGCGGGAGAAGGCGGATGAGTCAGCAGCCGTGGTGGATCTTGTTGCTTGGTATCTTCTGCTCTTCGATATGCAAACCTCACAGACGTCCTCGATGTACCATAGTCTGTATGTGCGCCGAAATGGACTTACAAATTGAAGACAGCTCCTTCTCAGGGTGAACGTGAGATGTGACGTGAGTGTTCTTGCCATATCGCAACGCGTCGCGTCGCGTCCAGATTCTTGGCATCTGCTTCGCCTTCGTTGACATTTACTTCATTATCAACGATCTTCTCAAAAGACCACTAGCTGCAAACGCCATCAAGACTAGGCGAAAGCGACGAATCTGGCCCATTTCCGTCATGATACGGCAAAGAGAAACTGGCCTTGACGTCCCTTCTGCCTGAGAAGCACCACGTCAACAACAATCGGTAGAACATCTATCTGAGCCGTCATGCCTGGCGTGCCAGGCCGTAAGCTAGGACAGAAGGTCGACATCGACTTCACTCTCCGCAAAGTATTCGGACGAGACTCATTCAGGTATGCTGGACTACATTCCGGTCTTTCTCTATCCTGACCTTGGTCAGACCAGTTCAACGAGAAGTTGTAACAGCAGCGCTCGACGGCCATGACGTTTTTCTCCAAGCAGCGACTGGCTTTGGCAAGTCCTTATGCTACCAGCTGCCAGCAGTCGTGGACTTCGGTATCACCATTGTCATATCGCCACTTCTTGCCTTGATGAACAACCAGATGGCTGGGCTTCGGGCAGCGAACATCAAAGTGGAAACCATCAACAGCACCACTCCTCACTCCGCGAAGCAAGCCATTCTGGCCGATCTCAAAAGTGGCCACCCTCTCACTCGTCTGCTGTACGTGACGCCGGAATACTGCCAGCTGGACCATTTCCGCAGCCACCTCAAAATCGTCTATGAGCAGAGAGAATTGGCAAGAATAGCAGTCGATGAAGCTCACTGCATATCGGAATGGGGACACGACTTTCGACCCAGTTTCAAAGAACTCAGCTGGTTCAAGAAGGAGTTCCCAGATATTCCTATGATCTGCTGCACTGCCACTGCACCCAGCAACGTGCGAGAAGATGTCATCAGAACACTAGCACTGGACTCATCCAAACTCAAAAACTTTGCCATGACCACAAGTCGACCAAATTTACACTTCGAAGTCCGCTTCACCAACGACGACGAAGACCGCTACGATAACTTTCTCGCCTGGCTCCGATCAACCCACGAACGCCGAGCTAACAATGCGGCTCGTTCGCAGGAACTGAGTCAACGAAACGAAAGAGCGACCAACGTCTCTGGGATCATCTACACCTGGTACCGCAAAGACACCGAAGAACTCGCAGCTCGTTTGCAACAAGATGGCATCGGTGCCAAAGCCTACCACGCCGGCCTCAGCGTCGAACAGAAAGAAGACCACCTAGATGGCTGGGTCAAGAACAAAGAAGGCTACGACGTGATCGTCGCAACAACAGCCTTCGGCATGGGAATTGACAAAGATGACGTCCGTTTCGTCGTTCATTGGCAAATCGCCAAATCCTTCGAAGGCTTCTACCAAGAAGCTGGTCGTGCAGGTCGAGATGGCAAAGCGTCGATATGTATCCTATACTACAGCCGCGAAGACCGCGATCGTATGGGAAATATGATGATGCGGGAGATGACGAAGCAGAGCGGGAAAGGTGAATTCGCGAGACAAGCTCAGGCCAATCGAGCGAAGAGCGTGCAGGCTCTAATCAAGTATTGTGAGTCAACAACGGCTTGTCGACATCGGATGATTGCCGAGTATTTTGGCGAGAAGGATGAGCCGGTCTGTCAATGGGCGTGTGATCGGCATAAGGACAAGAAGGGGTTGGCGCAGAAGAAGAATCGGGGTTTGTCGAGTGAGGAATGGGTTGCTACTCAGGCTCAGGCGGGGACGTATTCGAATGACTATTACGAGTGATGATGAGATAGACGCCTGTGAGCAGAACGAGCTAGCATAGAACGTTGCAGCACAGAACAATGACTTCTCTTGTAGCCAAAAAGCATCTGGACGATGTTCGAACTATTTCTTAGCCTTGCGTCTGATCAAAATTAAACCGAGAGACAATTCTAACCCTTCTGATTACCCATGAACAAAACGAAATATTGGCTCCTGTGGCCCTCAACTATCATCTGCCCCGATGCATGATCATCATCGCAGAGCATCCTCACTCATCAAGCACAATAACATCCTCCTCCATCTTCTCCTCAACCTCTCCAAACCCCTTCTTCACCCTCTCCTCCCAACTCGGCACCCTCACAACCATCGCCACACTACTATACTTAATTCCCAACTCCGCCTGATTTCCATACTATCATCTCAAAAGTCAGCACACCCCCACATCCCATCAAACTAACCCAAACCATCGAACATCAAAGAGAACAGAAAAGAAAGTTGCCACTCACAGCCATATAAACCCTCCCAACCTCCCTATTAACCCCTCCTCCTCCACCACTACCATCACCACCATCATTCCACTCCAAATTCCCATTAACCCAAACAACCATCCGATTCCACCTCTTCGCCTCCCGATGCTCCAAATGCTTCCCACTCAGTGATCCATACTCCTCTTCAAGAGGATCCCCTTCACTACCCGAAGAATCCGTCGGGACTTCATCCAATTCGCGACCTTCTTCCATTTCGTATCCTTCATCATTTGCGAGTTGGAGTTCGGAGAAATGTGCTTCGATGCGATATTTTTTGTTTTTCTTGTTGTTATCACTGTTGTTGTTATGGTATTTTGTAGCTTCGAGTTCGCGGAGAAGATCCGGTTCAACAAGACCGTCGAGGAGTCGAAGAGGACCGAGACGAGCGTGGAGATTACATGCTGTGACAGATTCGTAGATTGCCATATCAGCACCTTTCAACATATTCGGGACAAAAGCGTGGAGGTCTTTGTGGGTGTGGGGATAGGCGTGGATGAGATGGATTCCGAGGAAGCCGCCTGTGGGCAAGAATGTTGGGACTCCGAGTAGAGAATTCAAATGTTTTGTCAAAGGGAGAGATTTTGGGTCGAGGAGTTGAGGTGGAGAAATGCGGCCGAAGGCTAAGAGGCCTGTGCCGGGTGCGAGGAAGAGATTGTAGGTTAGGGTGAGGCGGTGGCCGGATGTGACGGGGAGGACTTCGTGTTCGCAGTCGGAGTAGAAGGCTGCCCAGTGGATGCTAGGGGCAGTTTGTTGGGCATTGTCGTTGTCGTTGGAGGAGGAGGAGGAGGACCAGTCGTGGACGATTTCATGACCTTGGTGGCGGACTGCTAGAGCTCCGCCGGAGAAGGCGGTTGGGAGACAAACGACGAGACTGCCGATTTGGGAGCTGCTTCGAGGGGTATCGACCTATGTCATCGATCGAACGTCAGTCTTGGTATGCAAGTAGCATCTAATTCGACAACTCAACTCACATGCGGTTTGAACATGCCGCTAGGTCCACTGTAGACATTCAGCTTGTACAGCTCCGCTCGGATGCCCCGAGCCAAGCGTTTCTCGCTCATATCCTTGTCTGAGCGTAAGTCACCCGTGAAAGGCGGCAAAAGCAGCTGTGCTACACTGTCAATAATGCCTGCCTTGTATGGGCAGAAGTCGGTCATGAAGTGTTCTGTACCAAGGGCTCCGGCACGTCTGTAGCTCTCGTCGTACACGTCTTGTCCATTGCGACCAAAGGTAGCCGGCACGCAGTCTTCAATGAGCTGCTGGTAAGCAGCTTGGTCCGATGGCCAAGTGATCGGGAGGGAGATTGTTCTTCCTCGTTCATCGGCGCCCCATCGTATGCTGACAGGTTTTGTTGCGACTGCCTTTGAGCCAGAGCTTGGAACTAGTCGGTCGTTGTGAGTGTTGTGCGCGTCCTGAGGATTAGATACCTGTCCGCCACAAGTGAAGAGTGCTTTTCGGCTTTGCTTTTGCAAAGCTTCAGACAGGTCTCGAAGGCTGCTTTCATGAGGTTTCTTCGCCAGCTTCTTTCTCTCGCGGCCTGCGTCCAGCGTTACTGCTGGGCGGAGGGCAGCCTTCTCTTGTTCAATCCTCGCAGCCTCTTGTGCTGCTCTCTGTGCTTTTTGCTGTGCTTTTGCGGCTCCCTCTATCGCTCGACGATCGGCCTCTGCCATGGCGCGGATGACTTCTGGGCTGTCGAAACCAGGCGGGTGTCGACGTGGGTCATGCCTACCCAGAGGCATGTACATGTCGCAATCGCAAGGCGGAAGTTCATCCATCTCGCGGATCTCTTGTAAATTTTGATGCAATACCGAGCTGGCTGGTTCTAGAAGTGGAACGAGAATGAAGTAGTAGAAGGAACATAGAGACCTTGGGCACGATATAAGTACCTACCTGTCGACGAAGCGCACTATTCACCGGTCGACGGCCGTTGGAAGTTGCCTAACATCAATATAATGTTGTAGGTCCTCGTGCAACGTTGTTAGGCAGACCGGCCAAAGAGTGCTGGACAGCAGCAAGGGGGGATCAGGCACATGCCAAGAGTATACTCAGCACTGTCGCACAAGCGTTGACCGGATTTGTGCGCACCATCATGTTCACCTACTGTGACGGGCACTCGTAGCTGCGGCATCAGCGTAGAGCGCTGTAAGAGGTTGTGCGTATTGCTGCATTCGCCTCCCGCGATGATGTTCAACGCAGCGAGATTCAGAGACCTCTGTCAAGCAGCGGAGACAGGACACAGCAGTGAGCAGATCGCATGGCATATTGTCCCCCAAAGGCACAGTTGTACAGTGCAACAGACAATGCGAAGGCTGAGGGTGGCAACGGATTAAGTTGCCCGACAGGTGAAGTCGGTCCAATGGTCGCACGAGCAATACCTCCAACAGGCAACACCTACCCTATGAGGGAAGGCATCCCGCGCTACAACACCAGGACTTGGGTTTGCCGGGGCTCATCCGAATTTCCATCCGAGCAGCTGATCCACTCGCACATGAACGCCACGGAAAGTGGAAGTCGTGTGTGAATTGATAGTCCTTCGGGAGCCAACGGTGAAGTCTGGAAGCCTTCGACATGATCGGATTCGGCGAGCTCAGCGCCCACCTGCAGCATATCACGGCCCTTCGCGTTCTAGTCCAGCGCAACGGGCGAACAGCTACTGAAGGACCACGAGCCCTGATGCGGCGGAGAGACAGGGACGGCGAGGGTGGACGTGGCGCTCAGATGCCCTGCATGGATCTTCAACTGTATCAAGTGAAAATTTGTGCAAGTGCAAACTGACACTCATGGTCGCGAATCCTTCTGCGGATTCGCTTGCGAGAGGCAGAGTCGCCGTGGACCTGGGTCCAGCGCATGCAAATTGATGCTCCTCCCAGACGGGCCTCTCCTGCACCGCAGCGGATACGATGCAAAGGGTTGAGGTGGCTCAAAGTATACATCCGAGACAGTCTATGCTCTCGCACGGGTCGTCGGCTAGATATGGTAAAAGGCATGACCAGGAGCTGCGACGCCGGGTTGGCTGTGCTTGCTGCGAGCCAAGAGGCCGTTGGAATCATGTGTAGCATGATAGGTCGTTCGCTGCTCGTGATGCAGTGGATGTTTTGACCATGAGCGCGTGAGGCGCACGAAAAGAGTGGTTGATCACTGGGTTGGGTGGTAGTTCAGGTGACGCGATCGGCGAGGAAATGGCGTTTGGACGATTTGGTCTCGGCTGGTCGTCTGTCTTCTTCAGTGCGGATATCGACGAACGCGGGTAGGCGCACATTCTTTTGCATGGGATGTGAATGGTCGACATGGCCGTTGCTTATGGGTAGAGCTTATAGTTTCAATAGGTCGCGTTGCAGGTTGCGATGGATTGGGGAGGACGACAGCTCGATGTTCTCAGACATTGACAGGCGCGGCTATCAAGCCTCGTGCTGCACGTTTGGTCAGGAACCCTCGTCGGGCGGCGGGTGTCGCATTATCGAGGCGTTGGCATTGCTTCGTGGATGCCACGCACATTAATAGGTTGACCATCTCTCAGCTGCTGCACGGTGCACTCGTCTCGGGGGCACTTGCCGATCGTGCGCAGTCGGCAGCGATTTAGCCTTGCAGCTCCCACGCCCGAGGGCAGTCGCAGGCACAGCCGGCCATATCGCATCCCACTTCATCGCGGCTAATTATGCAGGGGCAGCAGACGTGCGAGATGTTGCGTGTTTACGAGGTCTGGTGCTGCGGCCTCATAGCCTGACACAGTAGTAACATCGCGCACAGGATGTCGGAGAATCCACAGCAGGTTGGGGTCCAGCGGGAACTGGTGGAGGACGACGGCGACAACTCGGACATTGTCAGCCACGCTCTCAACACCCATTCTGCTGCTGCGACGAAGCGAAGGTGGGAGAGACAGATCGTGCTGTTCTCGCAGGCAGAATTACACGTGGTTTGCACGGCAAAGGTCAGGAAGGAAAGTCATAGCAGTTATCAGCGGAGATGCATGTGACGACGACGACGATGATGCCGGGTTGACGAGAGCAACGTGATGAAGCAGCAGCGTAGCAGCAGTCGGAAATGCGGGCGGTGATTGCTCATCATCGGCCGCGCCCGCCAATCAGCGCCGGTGCGGCACTTGTCGAGTTGGCGAGCAAAACGGCCATGGCCCCTCCCTCCATCACACCCGTCCCTTCCCTTCCCTCTCCGACGACTGCTTCGACACACACCTCGCCCACCGATATTCACCAACACTCCAGCCCTTGGATGGTCTCTGGACGCACGACTCACGATCCCCACGACCACGAACGGCGAGCACATTGAGTGCACGATACCCGCAGCCTCGGCAGTACCACCATTGTCGCATCCGCCAGACATCCGACGAAGCGGCAGCCACACCTCATCTCCCACACAAAGAACGACCACGTTGAAAGCGGACGCCACTCCTCCGCCCGCCATACAACACGCGAACAGTCGGTGACACGCCCCTCTCTGTCACCGACATCCTCCCCTCCACCCGCCATGTCGCAAAACTTCACCGGCCGTCGCGCGCCCAACGTGTCGCAATATCTGCAGGGTCTCAACGAGGTGCCGCAGCCCGGCCAAAACATGCAGAACGACTTCCCTTTCGACGATGCCTTTGACATCGCCAACGTCGACTTCCTCGATCTCGATGCCGTCAATGCCTTCCCTGGGCAACCCACATTCGAGCAGGACGCCAAGAATGGTTAGTCGATTACTGATCGTTGGCTATAGCCGACATATTGCACACATACTGACAGGACATGCTCCAATACAGCGCAGAACTACCAATTCAATGACTTCTCGTCCTTCCCACAGACGGCTGTTCCATCACCGACATCCACTATGCCATCACCGCCCGCACTCCACGGCAACTATTCTGCTCAGCAATTCGCATCTGGCCCGGCACCCGGCGAGAAGCGCAAGGCTTCTGTCGCCATGCCCGATACTGCTGCCGACCTCGAAGAGCAATCGCGTCTCGCTGCTGAAGAGGACAAGCGTCGAAGAAACACCGCCGCCTCAGCACGTTTCCGAATTAAGAAGAAGCAACGTGAGCAGGCATTGGAGAAGCAGGCCAAGGAGATGAGCGACAAGGTCGCCTCCCTCGAGGGCAAGGTTCAACAACTTGAAATGGAGAACAAGTGGTTGAAGGAACTCATCACAGAAAAGAGTGACGTCAAGACCTTGGACTTTGCGCAGATGAAGAAGGAATCCGACGGCCGGAAAACGGAGAACCGCACTGATGGCGTGGGCACAGAAAGCGCTGATGCGGAGTCCACGGCATAGCTGTCTACTCCTATGGCACCTTCCGTCATATCCTGGTCACTCCGCTCCATGTGAGGTCAATCGCCAAGCATGGACGTGCAGATATCTTGATGATCCGAAGGATGCTTGTTGTGAAAAGTTGATTTGGTTTTTCCTCTTTGCCTCTCTTCCCCTACCTGCTCCTCATCATCACCCTCGACCGCTCTGTTCCCGGTTGTCTTGCCCCCAGCACAGCGTACACGGAACAGAGTTCGGTCTGGCCGCCGTTTGTCATTTGTCGGCAGGTCTTTATATCAAGCTTGTTGCGTTTGAGCAATACCCCTCGGAATACAACTTACGGGGTTCTCTCGAGAATTTGGATAGGATAGATTTTCATGAAATGACAATGAAGAGGATCGGTCTAATGATCTGATGAATTTATTTGTTGCCTGTCGTCCCTTTCACTTCCTCTTTTCCCTTGCTATGAACCCTGATATCTTCTTCCTTTTGGCATCGAACCTATAATAGATGACATGTGGTATGAGTATGAGTGTCTGCTAGTCTGACATGATGGCCCATAGACTTCCGAGGCTGCGTACACAGTATCGTCACGTCGATGCCCACCAGCATTGCCTTTTCATTATCGACATGGTTACAAGCTTACTTCAGTTTGCGAGCTACTGTAGCTATTCCTAGACGATTGTAAAAAAAACTTCTCATCGCTCATTACTCTGATGAAACACCAATGAATCGTCACAGGCAATAGACATGGATGTCGTGGCAGGCTTTGACGATTTGGGTAAGGAGGGAAACATGAATCTACATTATCCGTACTCAGCAATCCAATCAATGCCTGTTTCTTCCATTGACTGCCGTGGCTTTGGGCGTTGAGTCAGTCATACTTTCTTGACATCGAAGTATGTTAGGCCGGAGGATATACATGTATGCACGAGATTTTTTAGTTCCCTTTGCTTCGATATTAGTATATTAGCATAAAAGATAGTCAACCTTCAGTTCCCTGGAAACATAAACAAAACAGCGCTTCTGAGATAAATTTCTAGAGGTTCACAATGTAGTATAGCAGACCCGTTGAAACTGAGGTTCCGTTTTGGGGGTCCATGGATCATGGTCACATTCATTCATCCATCTTAAGTTGCCTGGCAATACGACCCCCTTTCGCGAACCCTAGAAGGGCCAACGCTTTCGCTAAACCAATCAATCAAAAACATCAACAGCATACCTCTCTCCTCTCCAGTTCTCCCATTTCTCCCTCGCCTGTTCTTCCGTCAAAAGCTCCTCTCCCGGCTTCTCACTATCCTCCTTCATAATCCTCACCGCCACATCTCCAATCGCTCTTCCCACCTGCGCACTCCCGCAAATATACGCTCGTGCGCCATCATTTTGGAAAATCCTCGCCACTTCCGCTCTTTCTTTCCATAGTCTGTCCTGAACATATTTGCATCCCTCAGATTCTTCCGAAGCTTGACTATAAGCGGAGAAGACCTTTACGACGCCCTTAGCTTCCCATTCAGCGAGTTCTTGCGCGAAAAGCTTATCGTGGTCCGGTCTGCGACATCCAACGAAGAGGAGAGCTTCGCCGAGTTTCTTGCCTGAAGCTTCGGCTTTGATGGCGCGTTCTTGGAGAAAACCGCGGAAAGGGGCGAGACCTGTTCCAGCGGCACCCATAATGATGGGCAAAGAATCGTCCAGAGGAAGGTGGAAAGCTGGTGAACTCTTCTTGACAGCGACTTGTAGAGTTGAGCCTGGCTCGAGAGATTTGAGATAGCTGGTTGCTGTGCCTCTGTGTTTCTCGCTTTCGATGACGCTGAAGGTAATTGTGGCTTGGGTTGATTCGGCGAGAGGGGAGGATGAGATGCTGTATTGGCGGAGGCGGAGGGAAGGGTGCATCGCGAGGAAGCTGCTGAAGGGAATTTTGATATCTGGGTACCTTTCGAGGATGTCGAGGACGGAACCGCTGTCATCTGCCAGGGGCCCTTTGGCATGTTGGGCCACAATTTCCTTGTTCTTTCTCGTAGCTGGCACGCTGAGCTCGACATAGCCGGCTAACACCACGGAAACGGGTAGCTCCTGCTTGGTGGGGATCGTAGCATGAGACCCATTGGTGATTGTCATCGACGTATCCCATGGTAAAGAGAATCTGCGCAGAACCCGCGAGATGACCTGCTCGTGATTCAAAGGCAGCACGGCGAGATAATCGCCCGCTTCGTACCGCATATCCGTGGGCAGCTGCAGCGTTAGGTGTCTTTTCTCCGGTGCGACCGGGTGGGTGATGCGCTTATTTTCCAGCACCTTGGCATTCTGCAGACGGTAATGTAGATGTGAAGCTCTTGACGTGGTGGAGAGTTCGATCTCGAATGTGCTCTGCGAATCGTTCTGCGCAACATCGGGAGACAACACCTTCCATAAAGTGTCGGACCAGGCATCAAAATCGTCGAAGATCGTGCCTTGTGACACATCGGTCTCGCCACGTTCCACCAGAACAGTTGCGCCTTTGCTTTCGAGTAATTGAGCAATAGCTCGTGGGACTTTCTGATATGTCGATACCCAATCCTTGTGTCCACAGCCAAACATCGCGAATTTCACACCGGCGATCTTGGCTGGCTCAGTTGTCTTGAGCCATTGCATAAAGATCTTTGCATTCTCAGGTGGCTCTCCTTCATAAGTGCAAGAGACAAAGACGACTGGATGGTCCTTGGGAAGATTGTCCACCGCGCCGTCCAGTGAGCTCACTGTGGGCACAAAGCCACGAGCCTCAGCAGTAGACGCCAGAGACTGGGCGAGGTTCTCGCAAGTCCCAGATGACGAGCCGTATAGGATTGTCAGTCGGCCGCCGTTGCTGGTCGGCGCGCGACTGTCGATATGTCCGTTGGCGACCGAGTCAACTCTTGGCTCCATTGCAGGAGCGCCGTGAAGCTTCTTCACAAGTGTGATGGGGTCGATGTTCTCTCTCAGACGTGCTTTGATGTAAAATCCGGCAGGCTTAATCGTGAGCGATTCAGCGATCTTCAACTCGTAGCTTGGATCAGCCATGCGCAAGTTGAAATTCTGAAGGACAAGGGCCATCGCCAGGATCGCCTCTTGCCACGCGAAAGGTCTGCCAATGCACCCTCGTTTGCCTAAATCTCGCGTCATTACATTGCTTACACACAACATCGAGTAACTCACCATTCCCAAATGGCTTCCAAGCAGCAACAGGTATTTTTCTGAAGCTCTCGTCGAGCATTCGCTCCGGGTTGAACTCGTTGGCGTCCTCGCCAAAAACTGCGGCATCCCGTCCGCTTTTCGTGAGGAGCGCAGTGATTTTCGCATCCCCTGGAAGGACATATTTTCCACCAAGCACTATCGGCTCCTTCGTGGATTTGGGGCCGACGGTGAAGCCGGGCGCGGTGGGCGCGAGACGAAGGGTCTCGCGCAGGACAGCTTCGATGTACGGAAGCTTACTCATGTGCTTGAACTCCACGGGTCCAGATCCAACGACGTTGTCGACCTCTTGCTGGGCCTTGTGCAGTGCTTCAGGGTTCTTGAGCAAGTAGTAAATCGTGAAAGAGAGCAATCCTGACGTCGTCTCGTGCCCTGTCAGCAGTTAGCGAGGGAGCGACCACAGCAATATTAGTCGGAAGCTGTCATAGTACCTGCTACTAGGAAGGTTATCATCTGTAGAATAACAAGGTTAGCAATGCATCTAAGAAATCCTCCCCGTACATAGTCATAGACTTACATTATTGATCACTGTCTCATCGGTTAGTGGTAGCCCCGTGGCAGGGTCTTTGCCGTTCAGCATCATGTCGAGGAGATCTTTCTTTCGAGGCGACTGCTTCCGTCGATCGACACATTCTTGTGCCACACGTTTCATGAGGGCTATGTCTTTGAAGAATTTCTTCTCTGCCCCAGGGTTGAACAAGGATTGGATCTTCGTGCGCTGAGTTCTCCGGCCAGCCTCTGTCAGCACATCCGCCATCGCTCGCACGAATTCATGGAGGTCTTCACGATAGAACGAGTTGAACCGCATATCCATAGCACTGGAATTGTGTTAGCGTCAGATGTTAGTCGTGCTGGTGAAAGCTTACCACAGCGCTATTGAGTCGAGTGTCAGCCTCGTCATATCACCAGTGATATCGATCTCTCGATCTGGACCATTCCGGGCCCATTTGGCGATCAGTTGACTTGATATATCGTGCATTTCTTCAAATGCATCTTTGATAGCAAGAGGCCCAAACGCAGGCTGCGAAATGTCAGTCAGTTTAAGGAACGGACCGGAGCACAAAACACGATGATAGTCCGTACCGTGAGGGTCCTGTGGGCGGCCGCCCAGTTGTGTTCGTGGTTATGAGCAGTGAAGAGGCCATCTCCCGCAAGGTTGCGGACTTCTTCGAGGGCATCGTCAATCTTCTTTTCGAATCGGGTCTCGTCACATAGCTCTTCTACAAGCGCAGCCGATGAGACGATGTAAAACTCGTAATTAAGGACCTTAAGCTTGAATATCTCCCCTGATGCTGGTCAATGCAATGACTTCAACGATGTGCGGGGAACGAATCGTTACCATATTTGTCTGCCAGTCGTCCTACACTCTGCGTGCCGTTCAAAGGGTCAAGGTCGAACAGATTCCCGACTATGGGCAAGCTTGGCGGTTGTGGGATCTTTGAAGGCATCGTATGGATGATTGTTGTTGAATAATGATTCTGTTAGTCTTGTTGGAGGGCAATATTCGGCATGGCGACGAGTTCATATTTGGTCGTGTTATTATATGCCTCCTACCATATGAGACTGAATTCCAGTCAACGAGCAGGTCTTGGCGAGGTTGCGTGGAATCCGCGGCGAGGCAAAGCAACGCATCAGGCAGTGACGCGCTCTAAAGCCTGCGCAACGAGCCAGGCATATCGTTTAAGCTCAGGTACGAGCGTGGTCTGTTGGCGCTCATGGCTCTGCGATTCGATGCGTCGGCGGTCAGGAGATTGCTGGCAGTCCAGAACGCGGCCTCCGCGGCGAGCCGAATTCAATGTCAGTCGCATCCCCGTCGTAGACATCTTTACAAGATGGCCGTATGCCATCATCGCTCCTTGGAACACGCGCCAGTCTCCATCGTCCGCCCAGACGGCCTCACTCGACGAGGCTGAGCGGTGTCACTGCCTCTCGTCGCCGACCCGGACGAGCGCCGCACGCCTTGCTGCCCACGGCCACGATGTCGACGCCCGCCACGAGGGCCTCGAAGGTTCGACACTTCTCCTCATGGCCGGTGAGCTGGGTGTTCTCAGCTTGCGGGACATAGTCGCTGCAGTTGGGCGGTGATTGGTGACTAGCAGACTAGAACATAGAGGAGTGTTTTGAGTTTGAGCAGGGCAGGGAACAAACACAGCCCGGGACACCGAACTAGAACATGCAGCCCGAATAGAAACAGGCGCCAAGCGAGTCAAGGCGGCCACCCTGCGCGCCTTTCGAGGCTTGTTTCTCACTTCCTGTCCTCACCTCATCCTGTTCCCATCCGCAAGGCTGCAGCGAAGTTGACGAGGAAAGGCACGAGCAGCCTCAGGAACATTGAAGGATGCGCATTGCGGAGCGGAACACCTGCCGCCGAATGCCATAGACGAGTCCTCAGGCAGTCGCGACACGATCCTTCCCTTCCTGGATCCAGGATATCGACGCGTCAGCAAGTCTCGCGGCGAGTTGAAGAGGCAGCAACGCCCTCATCGCAGGACATGGCTTCCTCGGTCCTCCCCAAAGCAGCAAGTATCCAGTGATGCCACCATCTGGCCGGCTCGCCTCGCTGACTGGCGCTCGTCTCAGTGCAGGAATTGCCGTCTACGCAAGATCCGATGCGACAAGAAGTATCCGTGCTCCAGCTGCCAAACATCCGGAATCGAGTGTCAGAGGTCGTCCAACAGCATCGCGCTTCCCAGCGCCCAACCTTATCCCTCTCCGCCACCTGCTGCGCTTTCGTAAGCTGCACCACGCCACGGTCGCTGTAGCATGGCCATCGGCTGACGGGCTTACAGCACTGTCGACGCCCAAGGACTCGCTCGCAACATTGAGCAGATCAACAACGCCGTCCAGCAGCTCCTCACGCTGCAAACCAAGTCGACCGGGAGCCATACAAGCCCGCATCCGCTGTTCGCTGAAGACTATGCTGCTGAGCAGACCGAGCCGACGGAACTGCACGACAGCGACGCCGAAATCCACGAAGGAGTCTCTTCCTTCAACGCGCAGGCACTGATAGCGGGAGAGGCTTCTCAGGCTCTTGCCGGAGGCCACGACCAGCTCGTCGCGGCTCAGGAAGGCCTTCGATCCCTCCGACAGTTGGTTTCCGATGGTAGCCCAGCACTCAGTGATGGCGCCTCACCGCGGGCACATCACCAAGCGAGTCACGCTTCGTTCGCGAAGAGCCTCAATCTTCTCCCCATCGAGGTGGTCCTACAAGTCGTCAAGGTCTTCAAGACGCATGTCTCTTCTGTCGTCCTCCCCTACGGCATGCCCGGTTTGGACTACCTCGAGAGCGCTTGTAGAGCTGCTTATTTCCCCACCGAACCACTGTCTCCCGGGCAGATAGCCGTCATGCACGGAATGCTCTACTACCTTCTCTGGGAATGGATGAGCCGTGACGACATACCAGCGCCTGGCAACATCGACTTTGATGCCATGATGAAGCTCAGCGAGAGCAACTTCGAACTCGCCTTGCGCACTTACGATGTCCTCGCATACGCTACTCAGGACAATGCTATGGCGTTGTACTTCGCTGCAATCAAAGCTCGAGAGCACTCCAATGTGAAACGCGCATGGTCGTACGCTTCGTGCGCAGCGCGCCACCTACTCAACATGGGCTTGCATCGTCGGTCCACGCTCGCGGGATTGTCCTCGGCGCAACGCCGTGAAAGATTGATTCTCTTCTGGAACATTTACGGCCTGGAGAAGAGCCTGGCACTGACTTTGGGCCATACCGCTACCCTGCGAGACGACGATATCGATGCAGATCCAGTTCCTGTCAACCAAGATCCCCGGTATCGGGACTGGGATGAAGTGCCTAACCTTGGGGCTCGGCTGGGGCGAGTCGAAGGTCAAATCTTCGATCGCTTGTACACAGCCTCCGCCCTTAACAAGAAATCCGAGGAGCGTATTCAGATTGTGCATGAGCTAAGCCAGGCATTGGAAGAATGCCTATTTAGTTTCAGAGCAGTACGGCTACCCTAGGCTTCAGGCGTTGTGAGCTCGCTGACACTACTTACCAGCAGCGTTCGGATGAGTGCATTTTTCCAGACATCTATGACTTCGCCTTTGGCGACACCAATCACGTTGCATACTACTCCCTCCTGACGACCCTGCATCGGGGCACATACGCTACTAGCACCTCGCCTGGAATCATAACCCACGCCTGCTACGACGCCGCGCGAAAATGTCTTCAAGCACACCTTGCCATCATCGAGCAAGTCCGACTCTTTCGAGGCGGACAACTAACGCAGAACTACCTGACCTGGGCCCTACAATACGGCGCCTTCACCCCTCTCATAGTTGTCTTCCTCCATTCCCTCTCCGACCTCGACGAGCAAGATCTTGCTCTCCTTCAACGCTTCCACGACTCTCTGCTAGACGTTCCTAAAATGACGGAAGGCACCCGCAAACTACGAACCACCTGCGCCATCTTCATATCCGTGGCCAAGGTATACGTCGAATCTCGTCCAGGAGGAGACTCCAACTCCTCCGCGCAACATACTAGCAACAATGCCAACACTTCGAACCTTCCCACCACAACTCTCGCCCCGAACGCCGAAATTGTCCAACGTCAACAAATTCAAGAGGCCTTCGATCGAACTACTCAGGTCATTGGAAACAGCAGCAATGATGCCTCGCAACAACAGCATCCACAGTCAACAAACCCACAATTACAAAGTTTCCCAGCTTGGGAACCTGGTCTGGGTGATTTGACGCAAATCGATGAAATGTCGGCTTTCATGGACAACTGGATGGACGGGAGTCAACAAGCTGCTGATCTGTTCAGTGTGGATTTTGGGGGTGGGCCGTCGTCATATGTTGTGTGATGTGAGATGAAGTGATTACTGGCATCGTTAGTGGCATCGGGAGATGAAGAGAAAGGTGACGAGTGATATCCCATGGCAGGAGTATGCTCTTTTTGAAGATGAAGAAATGTGAAGTCGAGAACTCTTTTGAAGTGAGAAAACATTTTCTGGCTCTTCGCTACGAATATAGACGACATTTACTGGTACAACATTTTACATGACCGTACGCTCGCTCCTCCGCTTGGGGTATATTTACAGCCGCTGCCAGACCTTCATCAATCATCGTCGTCGAAATATTGCCTTGCGATTCGCTGCTCTTCTGTTTCATGCCCGGTAGCATTCGTCTGTGGCGCCTCGACCTCCACGTGACCCTTACCGGTCTCATTTCGAATAGCACTCGTTTGCTGCGTACTCGCCTCTCTCACATCAACTCCGCTTGCCCTATTCACACTTTCTTTCTCTTGCTCATTCGCAGCCACAACACCAATCGGTTCAAAAGACTCAATCTTCGTCTCCAAATTCCTTTTCAAATCAGGCGTGAAATCCATAAAACTCGCTATAGGACTGACTTCGCCTTCGTTCCGCAAACGTGTCCTTAATGTGTCCTGATCGCGGAAACGTCTGAGAGCGCTATTTGTCCACGCATCCCATGTATGACCATCCGTTTCCATTCGTTGGACAGTACTCAACACGCCATCCAAGTCCTGTCTCGCAGCGTATCCGACAAGTAGCGAATTGTATGTTACCTGGTTCGGTTCGATACCTTTGCCGCGCATGTAAGCGAGGATTTGATCGGCGAGGTGTAATTGGCCGTGGCGAGAGAAACCGTGGACGAAGATGGACCATGTCTGGACTGTGGGTCGGATTTGTTGGTACTTGGCGTTGGGCTCGTTTGGTAGTTGCATGTATTTGATGATTTCGGCGGCGTGTAAGAGGCCTTGCTTGGTTTTGGTGAAGCTGCCGAGGAAGGCATTGAAAATGTGGTCTGTTTGGATCATGGATGCGAAGGGTTCTTGTCCGGATTCGATGGCGTGCTTGACTCTTTGCCAGAGATCGTAGGCGCGCGTGGTAGAGTCACTTATTGATGCGGATTGCTCCAGATATGTCGCCAGCATGATGGAGATGTCTTGTGGCCGGGGCTGGGGTCTTCGTGTGGTGTCGTCAATCTGCGATAATTTCTCCGGCAGCAGTCCCACTAGCCGCAGAGGGCCTAAACTGAACAGCTGCGCGTACGCATCGGCAACAGTGAGAAAGGCTTTGTTGAGATTGTGCTTGGTATGATGCAGCGCCAGGCAATGCAGGATCTCGGTAGCTACCACAGGTGCTTCCAGAACGTTGATGCCAGAAATAGCGTCGCGAATGGTCTCGTTCAGCATCTCAGCATTGTCGATTCTGGTTTTGCATCCTTTGAGCAGAATGGCAAAAGTGTAGGCGTCAGGCTGCAGTCCATGATCGCGTAACGAATGATAGATCTCCATTGCAGTGTTCAAATCGCGGGCCTCGACAGCGTTCAACATGATAATATTGGCAATCGTGTTGTTTAGTGTGAGGCCGAGCTTTAACAAGCTCTCGACAATCCGAACGCAGGCTCGAAGGCCGCCGGGGAAGGAAACTGCTCGGCGGAGCAAGGTAGAGCATACTTTGTAAAACTCTTCTCCATCGACATCTGCACCTGCATTCTTCGTCTCGAACAAGGCATCGAGCGCCTGAGCCCCTTTCTCACGCTTGGAGAAGCTTGCAGCGAATCGCAGCCACGTGCGCCAGTTCACTCGTGCATAATGATGCTTCTTCATGTCGTCGTACAGAGCAGAGAGAGCTTCATCAGTGCAGTAATTGGTCAAAGCTCGGTAGACAAAACCATGTGTAAATATAGCCTTTCCACCATAACGAGAACTGTATGTGAGGGAGGGCAAAGCATTTGCAAGCTTTTCCAGACTGTCATGGTCTTTGCTTTTGTAATAGATTGTCGTCAAGACCTGCAGTGTCTTCTTTGTGTACACATTGTGCGGTCCTGGCGCGCAGTTCGTCAAAAGGAGGAAATCGAGAGCTGTTGCGGGATCGTAATGCATGAACCAAAGTGCTACAGATGGCCAATGTGTATGCGTCCTGAAATCGAGAAAGCGAAGTCGCTGGGGTGCAGAAGGATTTTGCGCAAGCACATCGTAGACTCGATCTACCAGTTCGATCGTCTGTGCAGAAAGTACTGGAAGGACAGGTTCACGCTGTTCGATAATGCAGTTGCGAAGTTGGTGGGCGTTCTCGACCCAGCGCAGCTCATCGAAACGGGCCTTCTGCATCGCTACAATCGCGGGTCGTTCCCTCAGCGGTCGTAAAACGTCCACAGGTCCCCGTCTCATCGGATGCTGGGTAGCACCTCGAGTTCTCCTGCCATTGAAGGACGTGGGCTTCTTGGGCAGGGCAGCTCTCGGCTCCGGGCCAGAACGGAAGTTGAATGCAATCCAGTATGGCTTTTGTGGCTCTGAGGATCTAGCCGAGCTCTGCCTCACTTTCTCACGGCTCGGATCATGACTCTCATGAGCCCTGCCCGCGACTTGTGCGCGCCGTGTCCGACGCTGCTGTCGAGCTGCTGGGGCTGTGGGGAGCTCCTGTTCCCGCTCCAGCTCCGAATCGAGCGGAGTATGGGATTGGTGGCTCACCGGACGCTGCCCGGGCAACTCGTCATCATTGGCTCCTAGTATGAAGTCCAGATACGTGGAGTCGGCAGAGACGTGATTGAGATCGGGCGGCAGCTCATTCCTGCGGGAATCTGGCTGGGGGTCGGCAGTGGTGTTCGAGGTTGAATAGAGACGCCGCCATTGCGGCAGACGGTCGTGGTTCTGCTTTGCAAACAGAAGGCGACTACGGCAAAGCGTCCGGAGGGAGCGGGTGCATGATGGCATAAGCGAACATGCCTTGCGATGTGCTGTGCGTTGTTGGTGGAGAGCAGTCGCTGTCGCGCGGAGAGTTTGAGAGTTTCTCGGAAGAGACGCGACAAGTCCGCAGAGCCGCATCTCTTGGCAGACGCGCCTGACTCGCGGAAAGCAGTGAACTTCTCTGCTTGAGCTACGCTTGCCTTCACGTCTGAAACACTCCACGCGCAATGGCCTCGACGCAAGCACTCAGTGCGGCGGCACAAGACCGCAAAGCTCGTCTCGCCCAACTCAAGTCGCTCAAGCGCAAGGCGCCCGACGCAACAGCAGATTTGCAACAAGACGATGAAAATGCACCATCTGCGGCAGCAGAGCCACCAGCACAGAACGAAGATGATGTGACGATGCGCTATGTTTCCGGACGCAACTACGATCATGCTACAAAGGGCGCCAAACTCGGTTTCGAAAGTGCTCCTGACCAAGGGCAAACGACACTCGAACTCAAAGCCGCAGAACTAGCAGCCGAGACGAAGCGACAGGCTGAAGAAGCGGAGAAGAACGATGCGCCCTTGGACTTGTTCAAACTGCAGCCGAAGAAGCCGAATTGGGATCTGAAACGGGATCTGGATCAGAAATTGTCCACGCTGAACGTCCGAACAGATAACGCCATAGCCAGGTTGGTGAGGGAGAGGATACAGAAGCAGCAAGAGGCGGCGAGAGGAAGAGCGAACGGAGCCGAGTCTCGAGGAGATGCAGAGGCTCAGGGAATTGAAGGCGCTACGCTCGTGGAGGCAACGAACGTGAGGGAGCGCGAGGACGAGGAGGAGGCGAGAAGAGAGCGCGAAGAAGATGAAGCACTGTTGGACGGCTCGTGAGCAGATGCAGCCTCTTCCGAGAAATCGGTGACTTCGGCTGGAGCGCGGCCATATTGTCACAACAAGCATCGCAGCACTAATATTCGTCTTGTTCGAAGAGAAGACAATGCCCTGTCGTGAGAGGAGCGAAAGGCTCGGCCAAGCGAATGCGGGCGCAGTCCAAACGAGCACACATCTCAGGCAGGATCGACAGCCTAGCATGCGCATCTAGGGACCCTAGCTGCCACACGAGGGCGGCTGGTAGCACCTTGGCGACCGTGCACAGGAACGTGGGATGAACCCTAAGGGCATCACCAGACATCAGTGGTGGAAATGACCTGCGTGTCTCTCCGCGGACAAAGTCTTGTTATTGGACGACGCTGAGCCAATAGCTCTAGCCATTGTGCTGCTCATCAACCTGCAGCGAAACTCCCGATGGAAAAATCGCTTTCTTGGCAGTGCTGTCTTTTACGGAACCGTTCCGAGCATGCTGCAAATTTGCTCAACCCCCTTGCAAGGCACTGTGCGTCGAGATGCACGTAAAAGTTGACTTGGAAGCGGAATGTTGACTACGCACTGAGATCGGGCTCTGGGTAGACGGCGCATATCATCGAAGCAAAACTGACAGGCAGTTGAGAGCGACCAACGTTCGCAAAAGCCGCGGTGAGGACGATACGGAGCGAGACACAGGGCAATCTTCAACAGCACTAGATAGCCCGACCAAGTTCATGACACACCTCGCGCGAGAACTTAGACCTGCGCACAGCGCGCCATGAAGCAGCGGATCAAGGGAAACTTGCCTCACTCGGTCCTAGCACCTGGGAGAACAAGCGCAACTTCTGCGCATCCATTGCGATCAAAGTGCTGTCTTTGTGGTTGCTTAATACCTTTTGGGGCGCTCTGCTTTTTGGGATGCGATTCTAGCACGAGCAAAGGCGGAAGGTGGTTATCAGTGCAGCCACGCAACAACAGAGCACCAAGCATCCATGTGTAGACAGGGCTAAGGACCATGATCTCGCGTTCGGGATCCGAAGCCTCATCATCCTCTACATGCTGCCTGGACAGTATCGTCACGTTGCAAAGTACTGCCGAAAACTACCAGCCTTCTGAAATGCCACGCCCATCAACCATCCACCGCCCAATTTCCGGCTGCTTCCAGTTTTCCCGTCTTTCGATAGAAGCACCACGTGTCTTGGCAGCCGCTAGGTCCGACTCCGGATTGTCTAGAATTGAGTCGAAGGTCTAGAAACCAGCAAAGTCAAGTCCAGCCACAATCAGCACTACGAAAAGCATGCATTCTTCTTGTCTTCATTCTTAACAATTGCCGACTGCTTCACGACGTTGATCAACCTCAAAGATGCACATATGGATGATACAGTCTATGTCCAGCATCTGCAACACAGAGCCAATGAAGATGGCGGCACATGACTTCAACGGCCTTTTCGTCATCTGTGAAGATGTCTGACGTTACTGAAAGCAGTATGTCGTCAAAGGATGAAAACGCCGAAGGGAACGTGCACAGTGCGACCATGATGGCGAGCGAAGACACTAGCCGGGCAATGCTGGCTGGATATGCCGGGGGGTGTTTGCTTGGCATCGAGCTTGGCCCGCGAGCTTGATGGGACTTGGATGAAAGGGGAATGCGAGAGGAATAATGCCGGGAGCTCAATGCGATTCATCCTTGGTCAACATTTGGCTTTTGAAGACGAATGTCACGCAAGCCAGCTGGAGTTGGTCGTGTGGAAGGAGTATTGCTGCCTTCACCTTTCACCGCGTTCTGTGCCATCGCTCGCAAAGGTGTTCTCTACGCACCAGGCGGACCCGTAGCTGGTTCAGGTCCACTGGCCCGTATACCGCAGGCTTATCAGAAGCGGATCCACCAGACCTAAGTTGACAACATGCCGGGTAAATCTCCGCGCTATCAAGATCTCTAGCAACAAGTGAGCCCGTAAAAGGCATGGCTCCTTCGACAAGCACACAATTATAGCACATCAAACCACCGCCTCAGATACCACTGCCCTTTTCTAGGTGGAATGTCATTGCTTTCGGACATTCTGTGCTCACGGACCGCCGATCAGGCGATGGGCGTCCTGTCTCCATGGGGTTGCACCGAAGGAAGACTAACATCGCGTGCTTCAAGAGTTAGGTTGACCATAGCCCCCTCGAGGCTAGGAGAATTGCACCATGTGTCCGGACGTCTGTGCTCCTCAAAGGATGCGCCGCATTGTCTTCGCCGAAGGACGACATCCTATGGGCCTGGTCGATGGCCCGGCGGAAGCGATATATAACAGGTCTTCCAGGACGCTTTGTGGTTCCTTTCCTCATCAGCATCAGCAGCATTTTCTTTCCTCTTCACTCATCTTTCACTCGACTCCGGTAGTCCGAACAGCTTTCTATTCTTCCTTCATTGACACTAGAGCCGGTCTCTCAGCGTCAATTCCAATCCCAAGAAATCAAAAAAATCACATTATTCCGAATCAACAGTTCAACGAACAAAACCACCAACAGCAAAAATGAAGTTCTCCACCGTCGCCGTTCCAGCTCTTTTGGGCCTTGCCAGCGCTCAAGACATCACCTTCGAGGAGAAGCGTGAAGCCGAGCCCATTGGTCCTTTGGGCCTCATCGGTCTGGGAAGCTTGGCTATTCCAGTCGTCCAGAAGCTCTTTGGAAAGCGTGACCTCAGCAGCCTGAACGCCAACGAGCTCGAAATCCTCAACAAGCTCTCTGCTCGTGACATTCAGCTGGATGCCGACGACCTGAAGATTCTCTCGGCCCTCCAACGCCGCGATGCCGAGGCCGATCCTATTGGTCCTTTGGGCTTGATCGGCTTGGGTAGCCTGGCTATCCCAGTCGTTCAGAAGCTCTTTGGCAAGCGTGATGTGAGCGAACTCAACGCCGACGAACTTCAGATCCTCTCGGCGCTACAGGCTCGCGACGCTGCCGTTGGCCCTGGCGCCCTTGCCCTGATCAGTGGCGCTGCTTTCCCCGTGGCCAACTGGCTTCTTGAGAAGGTCGCTGGCCCAGGCAAGCAAGCTAAGCGTAGCATTGAGCTTGACGACGAGGACCTCCAGATCCT